GTAAAGCAAAGGCAGGAAAACTGAGGTGCTTTAAGAATAATGCAGTAAACAGAAGTCAAATCAATATCTGCACATCTGAGGATTACAGATAGCTGTCATCAGGATTTTATCAATACTGGCTCCATTGATCTGTATCAGTACTTATCAGTATTCTTAATGTAATGGGACTAAAATGCAACAGTCTTCTCCGAGCTCTCCAACAACCTTCCTGCTGCACTTTTCATGTCACCTTCAGAGATTTAAATTAGGAAACGGAGAGCATATCCAGCCACATATTTGTTTTCACACCTGCTGAATCAAGTGAACACGGCGCTTGGATTTACGCAGTGATGCACGAACACACACACAGTAATGTAGGCACACACGTAAGAGATTGTCAGGTTTTAATTAAAGCTGCAGGTCTGAGTCGTTATCTGATCAGAAACACCAGCTTATCAGTTCGTGGTTAAACACAAGCTGAGAGCTAGACATGCCCAACACACATATTTCACTTCTGCTTTTGTGACAATTCTCAAACCACGTCATAACCAGAAGCAACCCAAAATCACAAATGGCCAAAATGACCTTTCTTTTACCCCACGGTCCTTACGAGGTCTGAAAATGACACGAGTCCTCATGAGAATAGCTGGGCGAGTACACTTAAATACACACGCTGAGTATAAAATCTCTTGCAGCTCATTTCTCTGCTCGTGTCTTCACAGTTCATTTCTCCTCCAACAAAAATGAAATGAACTCCTGACCCCAATAAACATGAAGTGGTTCAGCAGGTGTGCGTCACTTTGTGTATCTGCAGCCGGTGTGTGCGTGTCGTCTACAATAACCTTCTGAGAGGTTACCAAACAGACATATCGATGCGTCTCGCCTGCTCGTCTGAGATCTGCTGTGGCCCTGAAGACACATTCTGCCGATATGTCATTTATTAAAATCATGATTGGCTAAAATCCCAGTGCTGTCTTTTTTTATACCCCTGCAGAGCTAGCAGCACACAGCCTTTTATCGTTTCATCTGCCTTTACAATGAGCTGAAGTCCAAACAGCTTCAGAGAGGAAAAATATCACGACAAAGTTTCACAATCTTTGTCATCTGAGACCAGATGAAAGCTGCTTAAGACAGCTGTGGTTCAAACCATCTATTACTGCACTGCCCCAAACCATATGCTCTATATAAAAGACACACCAGCACCCTGATCACCCATCTGCTGTGGACATTTGGCCATTTGAAGCCTAAACTTTAGCATTTTGAGCACCAGAAAGAGCCAGAAGTGACCATATTTGAACAAGAAGCTGGAGTGCTAAGTTATCAGCTGATGTCAGCTGGATCTATCCATCGACTGCATGAATCACAGACACAGAACTGAAAAACTAAATACGTGTTTTTGTGTTGGTTGATTGTTTTTTTGTTTTTCTTGTGTTTTTACAAAATTAGAAATGTGAAAATTCCAATTTTTTGAATGTTTGTAATTTTGTAATTTCTACGTTTTATACATTTTTACAGTTCTTAAAAAAATTTCTTCAAATGTTATCAAACTTCCATTCAGGGTTTTAACCATGTTAAAATGTTCATAAAGACAGCTTGATAACACCTCCTTGAAGTTCTAATAATCTAGTCATAGGAGTTCCATACGCGTCCTGTTTATGAGGGACAGCCAGTCTGAGGAAATTTACAGCTCACTTCAGACTGAGGGCCTGCACCAGTGTATGTTAAAGACCGATTATTTTGAACTGTGGATCAAGCAAAGCTGCTGTTTTAAAGTCCAAGAACAGAAATACGGAGCTGTTGTTGGTTTCTCCTTGTTGCTGAACATAGAGTAAAATTCAAATTTCAACCATAACCGTCTAACTGCAAATTTTCCACACAAACTCAGCACTCAAAGAGGTTTTTAATCACAAAACACTGTATTCTTTAAGTGCTTTCTAACTACTGCACTCAGACTCACACACTTAAACTTGTTCACTGGAGGAGCCCGGGATCAAACCACCGCCCCACTGTTCCAATCACCGGCCCCATGTTAAGCCATGTGAAACATAGCGACCGTACAACCAGAACCCAGCACTGGTATTATATTCAAACAGCACTCTGTGTAGCACGTCTCTGAACACTCAGTTTCATGGTTTTTTTTTCCCTCTTGGATCTTTCTGATGTCACACAAAGATATAACCCTAAGATGGTCATCTTGGGCACAGAAGCCCTGCCTACCTTCTGTGCTGTCTTATAGCTTATTTGAGACGAAGGGGCTGCTTGAGGCCCAGGATAAGATATGGCTTATTTTTAACTATGAATCATACAAAGCTGCTGTAAGAGAGTCTGAAAACAAACCCGTGGAGGAGGACGTGAGCACCAAATGAAATCATATTTCATTCGGTGCACCTGTCTGTTTATGATCGCTGTATACCTGTGTGTGTGTGTGTGTGTGATGCACACGCGCTTATTATTCCCGTTATGAATCTGGATGTTTACATTGAGGAATCTGTGAGGAGCTGATGACGCTGTGAGGCAGGCTGAGGACCCGCCAACAAGCTCATTTTTGTCTTTTTGCCAACATGTTAACGATGTTTTGGTCTTGAAGGAGACGGAGCAATAAAGGTTTTATATTTGAGGCGAGGAACCCTCCCCTCCAACCCTCGCCCACCCCTTTTTCAGTTACATGTAAAGGTCACCCAGCCGACGAGCGGTGCGACATCCGTCCTTTTCCAATTTTCAGCCTCTCTCTCTCGACATTAAAGGATTTCTGAATGAAGCGTGACTTCTCTCTCTCGCTCTCTCTCTGTTTCTCCATCTCCACATCATGGGTTGCCATGGCGACTGAGCAGCATCGATGACGCCCCGTCTTTCCCCTCTATATTTACTCTGTTGCTGTAGCGACGACCCAGGCATGCACCAAAGAAGAAGAAGCAGCAGCAGCACAGACTTCTGTGTTTATCTCTGTTGCTGTTTGATTATTTTGTTGCATATTGTCCTTTTGGCCCCTCGTGGGGGGTTTTCTGCACTATTTATCCAAATTTATGTGGACCCATCCAGATTATGCAAGTGTGTCATTGCTATGAAAGATTCAGCTGTTTTGGTTTCACCAGATATTGAACCTGACTACATGGATGTGCTTTCTTTCATGACCCACACAGCTAAAGTGGAAACCCGGAGGGGTTCAAACTGTAAACAGCCAGCCCTCAGACCCGGAGTCACGCAGCTGTGCAGTGTTTACCATCAGCTGGTTGTTAATGGCGCTCTGAGTCCTTCATTCACACAGTGAGTGGATCTGTTTAGGTTCACCTCTGACTTTAGATGCTGCAATACAAAAACAATCAGACTGAAAATCTCCTGACACTCAGATGGAACTAAAACAGCAAAATATGGCAAGATCACTGCAACACTTCCATTTTTTCTCATTTCAGCCATTTAACCTCTGACCCACTGAGGCATAGACCACCTTTTATCAGGGTACTCAAACTACTTACTTTAAATCTGCCCTAAATCTGCTGTTTCAGTGGTGACGTTCATATGAAACATGGCCAAAGATTTAAATAATGTGGCTACAGTTATACCCATTAGCTAAATGTTAAGTTTCACATCAAATTTCCAGTCTTGGGTCTGTATGATGTCACCAAGAGCAGATATCCCTAATATGGTGATTGCCTGATATGTTGTTGCTGCCATTAAAACTCAGACAGTTGTTTGTGTTCATCCGGAGGCGGCGTTCTCAGTGAACACAATCAGCTTTCCCGGATTATTGCATTTGCCTCAAGATATTAAAATTTAGGGGTGTTCGTGCAGTACAAATACCACTGTAGAGTACTCAGAGTACTTAATTTCTGAGTAATTGGCAGCCTCACTGTTAATATTTTGTAGTTTGAGCTGCTGTAAATCTCCACATTTGGCAGCAGGAATTAAAGCTTTTCACTCTTCACTCATTGTGATGCTAAATGAAGGGTCAGTAATTAAGCTTGTAGTGAAATCTCTCACACTGTCGGTGAGGTGAGGTGTATTGTACTAAAGTAAATGATCTGTGAAAAGAGAGACTGGTAAATCAAATTTTAAGCACTCGTATGAGCTTACGTGTTATTTCATGACACGATGATTATCGTCCATAATCATTCAGACATTTTGAATCCAACAGCCTTGGTTTTCAGGTCTGCCCCAATTCAGATGTGTAACAGCAACACTGATTCACAGTGCAAAGCTTATTAGTTTCATTTAAAGGCTGTAAAACTGGCCTTTAAAAGCCAGCCTTTAATACAAAGCTAGCACTGGCATCAGTCAAATATGAGACTTTAAGCCTGGAGATCTGGACAAACCAACGAATCCTGAAAAACACAAACAAACCGAAGAACAACTGTCCTGACTGCAAACTGTACAACTTTTTGACTGAAACCTGCTGTTTGGTCTCTGGGCTGTAGAAGAAGACCCAGTTCTAAACATTAGCAATAGCCCTCAACCAAGTGCACACAGTAAGTGAACAGGAAGTGATCTGAAAGTAGCAGCAATGCTTCCAAAGGTGAAGATGACTTTAAAGGTCGTGTGGGCAATCTGATCACACCTTATGGATGATCAGGTGTTAACAAAACTAACCTGATTAATTTGCACAAAGATAATGTTCATAAAACGTTCAAAAAGGCTGGCTGTTGATTTGTCTGATATAAGAGCTGGAACAGCTGATTTTTTAATAAACTATTTCATCCACAGAATGAGCTGTCATATGGGCTGAAAGGATTAATCAATGAATCAATTAGCTGACATTAAATGCTTCAAACTGGAGAATACAGCTTATCTGATGTGAGAGCTAATTTAAAAAGTAAATGAAGGAAATAAACAGGTTCAATAAAATCCTCTTTAGCGCTGAAACACAATGAGCGTCTCTGTTTTAATGACCAAACAGCGGATACAAAGTAGTTCGGACTATCAGGACAGCAGCTCAGCATCATCAGAGCCTAACTGATAAAGAAAAACATTATAAAAAACATGCCGCTCACGCCTTCACGTCACACGGTAAAACGAGGTGTCATTACCTTTGGGTTGAGGACCAGCTGCTGCTCGTCAAAGTGCAGCAGAGCCACAGAGTTGGACTCGGAGTTGTTGACAAAGATCTGCAGGCAGGGGTAGAGCGACGTTCCCTTACAGTCTGCTCCACATGTGAACACGCACTCGAACATCTCTTCCGGACGCAACACCGACACCACCTGCAAGAGGGGGAGCACACGATTAGTGATGGATATGTTAGTGGACTGCGTCGATTCTGATAGCTGATTCGTTGAAAAATAACATTTTTTACTGGTAATTTTATTTGAAATATACATATTTGCTAATTGTCCAATTTTCTGTGAGGTAAATTTGAATGTTTTGTTTTGGGTTTTTAACCGAAGGTTGGATTAAGGTAAAAATAACAAGATTTGAATGTATCATGCTGATTTGAAGGCCTGGGAGGAAAGATGTGTTTAGGATGAGTTTTAAAAATGGACTGTTGAGGTGACTGTTTAACATGCAAAGACAATTTATTCTATAACCTTTGGGCAGCGATAGAGAATCCTGTCCCCTCTGAGTTTCCACTTAGATTTCTGTATATGTAGCAGCAGTTGGTTAGATGACCTGAGAGCTCGGGGTAAATACCATTTAAGGATTTAAAAACAAATACAGGAACTCTGACTCAGTGGAGCTTATAGGACTTGATGGTTCAATCCTTTGAGTAATCAGCACTGCTTCCTGCCTGGGGTCCTTAGTGGGTGAGCAGTAACTGCTTCATTAGGGTCATCAGATGGGCATCTTCCATCCTCAGTATTTCATTGATTTTATTTCCACAATACCTCCAGAGGACTCAACATGACACCTGGCGTCCTTTTTCTTGATCCACAACCAGTCACTACTTCACTCAGTGCCCTCGCACTCCCATCCTCTTCAGGAGTTTTGGTCTTGACAATAAGCCCTCTACACTCAACAGCAAGATTCTGCCTGAGCTGCTATTATGACAAGCTTTCCCATTCATATGGCTCTTCAACTCCAGATTCCCAAAGTACCATTAGTTCCAGAATGTCTAATATCTTCTGCAAAGCTGATCGCAACATGAGGTCTGGCCTGAGATTAGTTATTGTTCCTATCAGAAAGACCAGTGTGATCAGGGTTGACCTGCATCTTCCAGGGTTATGCTTACTCTTGCCGATGACCTTATGAGATAATCACCATTTGTTGCAGGACCTGGTTGTGGAAGTTGTACATTTCTAGGTGTTGTGGCCTTGGGACAGGCTTTTTTTGCCTGAGAGTTGCTGGAGTTTGGCAGAGAGCATACATATGGTAAATGGACTGGTTCTTATATAGCGCTTTTCCACTCTTCTGAGCACTCAAAGCGCTTTACACAACTTGCGCATTCACCCATTCACACCCATTCGCACAAGCACAACTGACATTCACACTCCGATGAATGCATCGGAGAGCAATTTCGGGTTAGTATCTTGCCCAAGGATATTTGGCATGCAGACTAGGGGAAGCCGGGAATCGAACCACCAACCTTCCAATCAGTAGATGACCTGCTCTACCACCTGAGCTACAGCCATACGGTCGTCTCCACTTCACTAATGGACGTTTTGGGCTGTAGGGAGGATATTGTAGGTGACTCTGATTATAAAGCTGAGTCTGCTTCCTTCCATTTTCCAGAGATCCTTCGGTTGAGCTTGTGATGTTTCAGTTTTTCCCAGCTGGTTCACTGGCCCAGCATCTGAGATGGACTTGTGCCACATTGCTCAACTTGTCCCAAATCCAAGTCCTGTCCTGTCCTGCTGAACGTGTCCAGCTACATCTCCACGCTCGAGAGGAGACTGTGCTTTCTGCACAGCCTCTGACGGAGTCCACATCCTTGCAGTGGGAGCAGCAGCTCTCTTGAGGCTCAGTCAGCATCAGTTTTTAGTAAACACTTATATCTGTGGGAACTTTTGTTCGTGCAGCTTTTAAAAATGTGTGGACACAGAGTACAGTCTAAAGCTTTTATATGTCTGGATGTTAATGATGAGCGATGGCGGAAACTTGTCTACCGGCTCATTACTGGACTCAAACAACGACCTCGGGCATGAAAATAAATATCAATGTCCATGAGAAATAATCAGTCAGTCTTTGCAGATCTGATAAAAGTCAGACCGCTTCATCACTCAAGAGGTCACAAAGCTGCAATAATGTCGAACCATCGTGATTGATGTGTTATTAAGCAATGGATCAGTGAATGACGGAGCAGACGTGCTCTCTGCCACATGACTTTGGACTTCCAGTCTCCATAATGCATGAACATTATTCCAAAATGATGCAATAAGCTAAAAGCCAAATAAATCAGGCCGGTATGAATTCATCATCCACAGTAAACAGCTGGGAGTGCAGGCTGTGGCTGCCTGTAATTTATACCATGAGAAGTCCCAATGGCTTCAAAACGCTGTGCAAACACTTTTAACGATCCAGAGCGGAAAGTGATGCAGCACGAGCGAACCGAAACAGCTAAAGGTGGACGCTTTGTCCTGACAACAAAAATCTAAATAAATGACTAACTCAATCATTAAAGGCCTCAGGCTGCTTGAGCTGTGATTTCAAACAATATGTTTTAGTTTCTGTCAAAACTAATGGTCATGTTTTTTTCTTCTGCCATGTACAGCAAGAAGAGGAATGTTTGAACCCAACGAGAAGTTTTTTAAAGGGTAATTTTGTATTCTGAGAGCAGCAGGAGCTCTAAATGGAAATATTGATTCATTCAATCTAATTTATCCATTTTAAAGACGGAGAATCCGTGACCAGGATATCTGAAGAAACACTGAGATTTACGAGTTGTTATTTGGGAAATTCAACGTACAAAACCTGCACAGCTGTCTTGATCTCATTCAGGCTTGTTGCCATTTTTCTGTCACTGGTTCTCTGGCTCCGAAGCAGGAGAATGCTGATTGGCTTTACCAACTGGGGAAACAGCTGCCAGTGAGCAGAACACCAGACCGACCTGCTGCATATGAATCGAAGAAAAAGTTTAAAAATGAAACAACTGAGATGTCTGGAAGGAGATTCAGAGACACCGTCTGTGACCAAAAAAGATTCCCCTGAAAATAATAGATGGATTCGCTACATGAACAAAAAGCTGAAACTAGAAAAACTGATTGGTTGCTTGTGTTTTCTCAATATGTTTCTGATGGCAGTGGAGTTTGTTAAGACTGAAGGTAATAGACGGAAGTTTGTCTCCCTTTCAGTAAAAATATCTCACAAAGTAATTATACTGCCTTCTTCTCACAGCAATCATCCCTCTGATTGCACAGTGGTGGCCTCCTATTCAGCAACAAGACAATGCAAAATAGCTTTAGAAGTTACCAAGATGCAGCTGCAGGTAAATTAGTCAGTTGAAGCATCAGAAAAGCAACAAAATGATGACGAACTTGTCAAAATGTTGACTCATTCAAGCTCGTCGTTTCAAATTCCTACTGGGTGTCTTCCTCTAGATAAAGGCTTAAAAGAATTTGAACTTGCCCTTCTATCAAAAGATATTCTGTGAAGCTCAAAATACTGTAAAACAGCATAAAGCACTCCAAGTTCCACCTTGAGCCCGGCCAATTTATAAGCAGGACGATATTATTGGCTAACAGCCGAAATTTAAAAAGGGAAAATAAAACACCCTTCAAAAACATTATACGTATCGCTGTCTTTGTCCACCAGAGGGCACTTAGGAACTTCCCTGCTAATAACACGTGTTGGAAATTAAATAAATATGTACACATAACAAATATCAGAGAAGCCTGTTTATGTTTTGTGTGTCATAAAGAAAAAAACAATACCGGACAATATTTGAGAACATCGGAATTTTAAATCACTGAATATCTGTTTGATTAACCTGTAGTTCCATTCTAAAAGTTCCTCTGCATCTGAAAGTCTTACTCCCTGAGAAATGGGTTTGGTGAAGATAAACAATCTCAAGAAACGTCATATGGAACGAAGTTCCTCTCTAGAAATAAAAGTAGATTTTTAAATGATTGTTAATATAAGCTTTTGTCAATCTAGCGTTTAAGCTTGTGATTTGGCATTATATAAATAAAATTGAATTGAATTGAACTGAACTGAATAGTTAACAGCAAGAAAAAGACGATGAGCTTAGGGAAATGTTAAGGTCAGCCTTCTTTCTCTGACTAAAAGCTTAACAAGGCTTTAATTTTGGCTGTGGTCCATCAATCTGGCAGGAAAAATAACCATTATCACTACAAGGTCCATCCAAAAACATGGATTCCCACAATGGAAGGATTAAAGAATCTTACAGAACTTTGTTTGTAACTGGTTGGATCCACTACTAGAAACATCGACATCAAAACAACACAATGACAAGGTCAACATAACATTACTAGAAATGTAGGTTGCACCTTAAAATGTTCTAATTCTGCAGAGACAGTCACTGAAATTGAAGTTCAACTAAGGTTGAGTTATGCTTTTCTTTCTGTGTCTACACTGCATGAACTGCATGAGAAAACTGCAGATTTTACAAGTGGTATATTAGGGTTTTTTCTAGAACTCCTTCTACTACAAATTAGGAACTTTCCAAGCATAAAGCACGAGTAAAACTTCAGCTGTGAAGGTTACCTTTGAAAAAAGAAAGAAAGATCAGTTTAAGTGCAATATTTGGCTTTTCTAATGCATTAATACGTATTTTCTTTGTAAAAAACACAAATATAACAATGTCATTCTTTCTCAATATCCCATGTGTAGGACTTTCTCTGTGATCTTCTTGTAATTTATAGCTAAATACCAACTAATACCAAGTAGTTTTAGAGAGTTATGAGGATGCTTTCCAGGAAGCAAAAATACCGAAAGTTAAAAATAATCCTCTGGGGATAAAAAATCTCTGACTGCTGGGTATCCAGTTAGCATTTTCCAAGTTTGAGGCTTAAACTAGAACTACAGCATGTTACCTGTGAGGTTAAAGTTAGCAAAACCTCAGACTAACATAGAATCTGGACTACAGATGTTAGATTCAGCTGTCAGAATGACTTTAATTTAGAAACAACAGCGAGGGCCGCGTTCACTGACAGACGACTGACAGTTTGTGTCAGATCACCTCGGTCAGAACAGCGGGATCCCCCTCACTGTCCATCAAAGTCTGATAACTGATCTGCATTAGAGTTTGCCCTCAGTTATTACTGGACACTTCTCGAGTGGCTGAAGGAGATTAGCACAGATAATCTGAGTCAAACTCACAGAAATCCTTCAATATTGATCTCAACACCAGGAATTCTTCGACATGGTGCTTCTCGTCAGTGTGTCAGTGCAACATATGGTTAAAAGTACAGACAGGACAGAAATAGGACAGTTTCTAATATACTAGAGTAAATATGTCAGTGACTTTCTAGTAAACAATTTGGACTTTCCTAAAAACTGCAGCATAACAAAAGAGGCAAGTGGATCCTTTCACCTATAAGTAAAGCTGCAGCTTTGTCCAGTTAATGTATAGAATTTCAAAAAGCTGTGAATTCATTAAGTTCACATGATTAAAAACAGAAAAAATGCAAATACTGGACCCAGATCCACAGGAATCAACATTATTTTCCCTTAAATACTTTTTTTTGTCTGAATCAACATTAATACTTTATAAAATCTCCAATCATGCCGACATGTCACGATCCTGACTCCAAAATCTGGATATTGAGTATCGATGGAAATGTTTACTCCACCATCAGCAACGGGAGACCTAACAGAGAGTTGGCAGCCTGGAGGTGTTTCTCACTTTTATTGAACTCATGGTGACATACGTACAGTGGTGAGTTGGCTTAATGTGTCTACTCCACTCCGTGTGTGAGGAGAAACTAAGGAGACTGTAAATAAGTGCAAGAAAGACTCCCACACTGAGCTGAAAGCAGGCGAGTGCACATATGAAGAAAATAATGTCAGTATTATGTTAAAAACTACATTTATTTTGGTCCTGACTTCACATATTAATTTACTAACACTGAAGCACTCCTCTCTTTATCAACCACTAATACCACAGCTGATAATAACACACTTACAGTCACATCACTAATTTAGGCTCCAGGTAAAGCCACCCTGCTGCCGCTGAGTGTTAGTAGCCTTATAGCAACACTACAGCAGACATATGTTTACTATTTTTCAGTACTTGTGATTGATGTACTTTTAATGTGTGTAATTAATCAGTTAAAGTCCTGGTTGTGTCAGCAGTTCCTGCGAAATGCTGAAATCCTTAACAGCTCTCAGTATCCTGCAGTAGGCTGCAAGTTTTTTTTTCTTTTTATAGAAGAACTATTAATAGGCTGTGTGCTAAAATAATATTTTAAGGTGAAGTACTATAGACAGTCAAAGCCTGCCCTAGAAATGTATTGTGTGATATCAAAAGTATTTAACTGCAGCGTGTACTGAGTGCAGTAGCAGTACTACAGTAAGTGTGGTAGCAGCAGTCCTCACTAAAACTACTTCCACATAAACACACCTCTGAAAACCAGCACAGCGTGAACCCCGACAACAAACGACAAGAAAAGTCGGGTTCAGTGTGAATTTTAACTAATACTACCACTAACCTGACTACTACTACTACATCTACTACACCTCCTTGTACGGCGGCGGCTCCGGCAGCAGCGGTGGCAGCTCGGAGCTGGCAGCCGGGCTCACCGTGCAGTTGGCCGGCTTGCTCTGGAGGCTCTGCAGGGTCGGGCTGAGCCAGCAGAAGCCCAGGATGAAGAGGCTGAGGATCCCGCAGGCGATCAGGAACAAGCCCAGCCGGATGCTCTTGTCCTCGGCCTCGGAGTACTCGTACGACACCCGGATCTTCGCCATGGCAGCCCCGCGGAGACCTCCGCCGGCATGGAGAGGAGGAACGGAGGAGGAGGAGGAGGATGGATGCACGGAGGATGAAGGAGGGGGAAGAAGAGGAGGAGGCGCTGCTCGCTGTGTGCTGAGAAACTGTTGAGTTTAAACGCGACCGCTTTCGTTCTGTAAGCGCTTCATCTGTCCTCCCTCCTCCCCCTCTGCCTCTTTTATCGCCCACCTCACCCCAGCCTGCCCTCCTTCTCACCCTTCACCTCCCACTCTCCTCACTCTTCTCATCTTCACTGCAAAAGCCCAAACAACCCTGGAACTTTCTACGATAAAGGCTCAGCTCACTAAAATCATAACACACGCGCTCAGCGACGTGGCCAAAACTGTGTGGACACCTGTGTGGCCATCAGGTTAGACACTTCTGCATATAACTCTGTCAACAACAAGTCTGCTTTCAGCTGGTTTGGCGTCAGCAGCATGCACTGACGTCATAGCGAGTGATAACGTTATAAAGAGAAAGCAAAGACTGTATATAAACTATGGCCACTGTGTAGTTTTAATGTTAATGGAGCCAGATGTGACCACAGGGAAGAGGTCCAATCAGACCCAGACACCCACACTTCCCCCTCCAGCTCCTCAGAGAGGTCACAGGTCAGCTGAGAGTCTTTCCAGGGTGTCCTGTGTCAAACGAAGAGGTCTCCTCTTCGTTGGACCAATCCTGGTGAAGCACCTCAGCTGTCTCGTCTTGAGGTGGAGAAGCTCTGGGTTCTACTATGAGCTCCTCACCTCATCACATCTACAGAGGAAGCTACCCACAGCTGATGAAAGATCAAAGCTCCCTGCTCTTGAAAATCTAAAAGTTCAGACTTGTTTTAAATGGTTAGAGTTTCTTTATTGGTTATGTGTTTTTAAAACTGCATAAGAGACTCTTTGTTGTACTTGCACATGCTTTGGGATTGTATCTATGTCAGGTCTTAATGGGTCAGCAGTTCTTAACAGGTCAACAGCTTCTGGACAGGTGAACCTCCTTGGCTGGATTCTGTGGAGATGTGTGTGCCAAGATTCAGCAGCATTTCCAGAGCCCATCTCTGGAGATGGTGGAGAAACGTAGACGCGAGGTGCAGCAAAAGTGACACATTTGTGTGGACAGACTGCAGAAGCTTGATCCTTCTTAGCCATGACTGTGGACAGTTTTAGCATGTGGTCGTCAGACTTTAGGGGTTTATTTGCAGAACTTAAGCTATAAGATTAGACACATGTGTAATGGAGCCAAAGAGCGGCGCAAGGACGTCCAGCAGGAATGTCGTGTCTGAGTTCAACCCTCCTGCTGAAAACCTTTCACTTTGGGAAACAGTTTGATGTCCTAACCTGAACTCTATCCAGCAGCGACTCAGGTGTCTACATACTTTTGGTCATGTGGTGCAGCCTGTGGCTACGTGGCATGTTTCTATGGTTTCATCTCTCTCTCTCTCTCTCTCTCTGCAGGTTGAGTGATGCTCGATCACTCCGGTGGCTTGATGATTCAATCCAGATCAGGTTTTATTTCGCCGCTGGCTCCTTGTTGTTCTCTCGCTGTTACATGCTGCATGAGATAAGCCTCTTAGCGGATCGAGAGAGCGCAACACTCTCAGAAACATCCTCTCTTTTTCTGGATGTCAGGTTTGCTTTCACACAGGAACTAATACCGGACTTATATCTATCTCAAATATCTGTCTCTCTCAGAAGTAGTGGAGCATCGCCAGTCTGGATTTAGAAATGCAGTAATTGAAAACATCCCACAGATGGTGAGACAGATGTGAGGATTCAGCTGAGATAACTGCGTATTCAGAGATGGAGTTAGTGTTTCCAGTTAGTTTCACTAGTTATGGCTTTGAGTGGCTGAGGCAAGCTTAATAAACCTTCATGCCGTTGTTGCTCTGCTAACATGTAAAACGTAAAAGTATGACACGATTTACACATTTCACTTCATAGGAAAGTTTTTTTTGGTTGTGACTGAACAAAACCAAAACCTCAAAACAGAACACTGCATTTCCTGTGATGCCCACTAGGAGCTGGCTACAGTCTCGCTTGTTAAAATGTCTTTGCCATACAAATAAACATGAATTTTGGCCTTTGTGGATAGTTTTACCCTTCATAACCTTTTAAATAGGGAAAGAGGGTTGAGTTATAAGCTAATCCAAGATAATTTAGTCATTAATTACACGGTGCTCAGTAACATCCAAATAAAATCCCAGCATTTCACTCATGGACGTCTTGGACAGTCTGTTAGCACAGTAACCTCACAGCAGCCATATTATTGGTCAAATAATGTCATTAAAACTGCTCCAACAGCACAAACACAATTTAGAGGTCCAGCTCAGAGACTCTGTCCACGTGTTAGTCAAAGAGGCCACACCACTAATAACGCAAACTTTAAGCCTTAATACAACTCAAACAGGTAAGTTACATCACGCTATTTATCTCTGCTGTGAAGTTTTAACATTTTCTCTAGTGGTCTCTAGTGGATGCTAGAGGAACTGCAGGTTTTGCCTCTTACGCAACAGATTAACATTTTCAGGTTGTTGTTCTCGTTCATGTTGAAACCACATGCTTCTATCTGGACTTCTTCTCTCTGACCTGCTCAGTAAAGAGCTCTGATTAGATAAATTACTACATGCTGAAAGGTTATTATGGATTTTTTGTATCCAAGGAACCAAGCCTTTTTCCTATTTCTGTCTAAAAAACATTTAAAGATACTAACAGTAAAACCAGTTTTGCCCTCAGGGATGAAAAATAGGAAGAAGAGTCTGTGGGTAACCAGTCGTACTGTAAGTCATCACAGCGTTTATCATCATCTTGTTCCTGGCATTATAAGATGGTATCTTTGGGTGTTTGTGTGCTTTTAAACTGTCAGAACTTCATTAGTGTTGCTGTGATGACACAGTCTGCTCGTCCACACAGGCAGGAGAGATGAGTGCGGCGTAGACAGAGGTTGATTGTTGTTAAAGACCAAAACAGCCAACCACAGTAGTCTCCAAAGACCAAACGATCAATGAGCCAACTGAGATCTATTGATTTCCCTCTCTCTCAGCCAGAATGAGGAGCCCAGAGAGTGAAAAAAAAGGCACCCGTTGACACAGAGTCACCCCCTTCAAATACTCTGTTGGGTTTTTATGCAGAAGCTGTTTTGAATTTTGTCCCAGTGGGTGAAGGAGCCTCAGCTCAAAATTCGACTACAGCAAAAAAAGACTTAATCAGTCTTCAGATCACACTAATGACAGCAGATAAATCACATTTACCAACAGGAAACCAAAGCTTAAACACTACCTGCTTCAAAAATGCTTTATTTTTTCTAATGAAGTACAAGTAAACACAAGGACACTGATGATGTCACTTGGGGCTGTGGGGTTAGGAATAAAGCTTTTTACATATTCTAGACAAATTCAACATTAGATTAAATTAGAAGATTAAAATGTCGGCTAGAGCCGTAAATATCTGACTGCTGTCACTGAGACGCTCACAAAGCAGCTTTCTTTATTTTCTTGTCATATGTTTCCTGTACTAAAGGTGGATGTTCACTGTAAACACAGATCAGGTTGGTGTATGAATAGAAATCCCTGTGAGCCAAAAGCTCAGACTGCTCAGAAATACTGTTTTTTTTTTACTCTTGGATCTGTGATGTCACAGAGGGGTGATCTCCTTATATGGTCATCTCAGGTACACCCACCTGCTTGTCACACCCTGGCTGTAGTAGACTGCCAATCAGAAGAAACGTGTCTTAAAGGGGGTGGAGCTTAATCTGCTTTTTTTTCTATTAAACCCAGGGGCTAGGCCAGGGAACCACTTCCTTGATGAGTTCACGGCTCAGTCACTGATTTTGGGGTCATGCTGAATAAAAACACAGTTTTGGGGGTAATGCATTTTTCTGAGGACTTGTAATTGACAATTCTTTAGTCAGTGAGTATGCAGTTTTTTTGCTCCTCAACAAACTGACAGCTGTAAATTCTCCACTTTGTTCACCAGTTGGTTTCTAAACCTGTCAAACAATAACTGCAGTAATGTTTGAACATATGACACATGTCAGCTGTAGGCTCCCAAACCAGCTCTTCATATCGTCAGTGACCTGGCCTTTAGAGAGACCTCAGTGCACCAGCTCAACGCCGCCCAGTATCCAATGATTGATCAGTCTCATATTTATTCAATCAGCTGCAGTAATTTTGTGCTGGATAAATGTGCAAAGCCAGTGTGATCCATGTCTTAAAGAATTAAAAACCAGTTTGTCACTTTTTACAATAAAGGTTTCTTAGTTTTTCTGGCACAAAACAAAATAAATTGAACAAATGTTACCCTCAGCAATCAGCTGAATTGTTTTTCACCATAAGCATTGGTCCAGAATTTACCACCTGAGGTACAAAACCTCAGTCTTCACCAAAGACACAAAATCAATCCTGGAGAGGCACAAAGAAACCAAGACCTGATGTGAAATGACTGCAAATTCACCAAGGTGAAAAGAAATGTTTTAAAACTTACATAAAACAACCAAATGACCACCGTATTAAAAGAACAACTGCAAGCAGATTGAATAAAATTAAGAAAAATGACCAAAAATATACAGAAAACAATCCTGAAAAGACACGAAATGAACATAGAAACACTTAAAATGTCTAGAATTAGATCTAAAGGGACACAAAGAAATGCAAATTCAGTCTCTAAACCCTCCTCTGCTTCATTGCCTCTTTGACTCTAACAGGCCCAAAAAACCAGCAGCAGTCAGTGTTTGCTGAGGTCAGAGGTTAGGTGAGGAGTCGCCCCCTACTGGGCACTCCTTTAGGCAGCACCTCACTGGATTTACTGTTTAGTGAGAAAAAAAAAGACATCCATGTTTGATATCACAAATACAGTAACTGCCACAAAAACCAGAGCACCCAATGTGGATTAATCCTTCTCTTAAGATAAACCCAAAATACTTGAAAACTGTTTCTTGCGGCTTGATAACAACATGCAGATGACTAGTGCTTTTCAGAGATCAAACTTTAAATTTCTGCTGCAGATATTAAGATTGAATCCTAATCCCCAGCTGTTTAAATGTAGTGACTTTTAGCGGTCTAAGCTGAGGCCAAGAGAAGTGATCAGTCGGGTCTTTAAAATATTTTAGCCAGTGAAAAGCTGAGTGGGTCAGAAAAGACTAAACACTGGAAGGATTTTGTTGCTGGAAGCAGTGAAAGAAGAGCAGCTTCCTGCAGCTGCAGAGTAAAAATACCACCTTTTAAATAATGATATCCTTCAATCTGCAGTGGGTGTGCGGTTTTCTCTCTCTGCTTCGGCCTGTTGCATAAAATGCCAAGAGCTGAAAGGCTCCAGAATAAAGGCTCAGCATTATGCACTGGTAATCAGAGAGAGGCATGTGGCAGGATTATTATCATCTCTGCGGATCAAAAGATTACAAATAATAACGGACATCAGTGAGGAGGAACTGGGGCCGCTTGTCTCTGCAGATCCAGCAGCAACAGGAGAAAGCAGCCACCGGAGAGGAACTCCCGACAGCTTCAACAAGTTTGAGGTTTACACTCAGTTTGCATGCATGAGCAAAGGAAAGTGAGGCAGCATTTCACTTTTGGCAGCCGGGAGCAACAGTTGGCATCCTCTGTGGATGGGATTTAGACTTTCATGAAATAAAACAAATAAAATTGGATAAAAAAAAGAAAGAAAGAAAAGAAAACAGGGCCATCCTGTGACCGAAATCAGCATTCAGATGATGCGATTAGGCTGTAGAGCATTTGCTCCGGCTGTCCTGAAATAATATAGCAGCAGCGCAGCTGCTGCAGAGGCAACATTTGGCTAAAAATCCTTCCATCAACACAGTAGCATCCCTCATCACGGAGCGACAGAGGCCTCCGACAGCATCGGGAGAGAGTCCGGTCTCAGTCTGCAGGTTCAGGCAGCGTTAACACATCACTGCACCGCAGAGCGACAGACGGCCTTCTGCTGCTAGAAACGCCACATCAGAAATATTCTTCTGAAAATCTGTCACGTATTACATTTCATTTCAGTCTGATGAGTTTCTTCTCCTGGAATCTGTAGCCAGAGCTCAAATGTATGCTCTGTGTGCAAAGTGGATTTAAACAGCAATAATGCAAAGATGACTGATTGTGATCATTATGTGGACTGCTGGTAAAGGAAAGAAGAAATAATGTAAATCGTTAAGCACAAAGTTCTAAAAACAATCAAAAATCACCTAAAATTGATAGCAGCTTGCTGAGATTGCCTGTAGTTTGCATGGAAGACGCCGACCCTGCTGAAACTCACAAACCAGAATCAGCCAATGATCACCCTCAAAGTAAAAGTCGTACCATCACAATCAGCATGTTTCAAAAGGTGCAGCTTTTACTTTGGCGGTGAGTGGTCTCTGGTTCTGCTGAAATTTGTAGGCAAGTTGACGTCTTCCATGCAAACTACAGGCGACCGCAGCAACCTGCTATTAACCAATCACAGTGAGTTCTTTGGTACAGATTTCACCCTGCAACCACTCGCCAACCACTTAGGGAATGCATGTTTTCCCTTAGCAACCACTCTCTGGGCCTAAATGAATAAGATTAAATAAATAAAATGTATTTTATTATTTCCTTGCACTTCTTTGATTTTTAAGTTCATGTATATCACAATAACACCTCAGACAAAAGCATTTGTGACTTCTCGTTTATTGTAATTAAAGAACCAAATATTAATATTCTTTATTCATGACTAAAGGGCTCTATTTTGGGACCCTTTATTTGTTTCTGACTTAGTTCTATTGGTGGGAATTATGAAAGTATGCAGCAATGAATTAAATAGAATTGTTTCTGTTTAACTTAATTTTTCACTGGTTTTAATAAGCAGCTTCTTAAACTTGAATTTCTTTGCTGGATTTATGTGTTTTTACTTCAGTTATTAATGACTCCACTGATTCACTTACGTCTGTTAAGTTTTATATTATCTGCATCGTGTTATGTCAGAGTCTCTGTGGTGGAATGAAATGTGCTGTATAAATAAAGTTTTACCTGATTTTTAGTAGAACTGTAATGGGATGGGTTATTTTGCCTCACTGCGCTAGAGAAAGTCTAATAAAGTTTATTGTGAGTGTCTGTCTGAGTGCTTTCTGTAGACAAATGATGTAAAAAGTCTATTTGGGACAAACATTTCAGATTTAAGGTGTCAATAATCTACATCTGTTCACCAGAACAGAATTTTGCATATCTGGGCAGCACGGTGGCACGGTGGTTAGCACTGCTGCCGCACAGCAAGAAGGTCCTGAGTTCAATTCCACCATCAGGCCGGGGTCTTTCTGTGTGGAGTTTGCATGGGTTCTCTCCGGGTACTCCGGCTTCCTCCCACCGTCCAAAGACATGCAGCTTGTGGGGATAGGTTAATTGGATAATTCAAATTCACTAGGTGTGAATGTGCGAGTGAATGTGAGTGTGAATGGTTGTCTGTCCCTGTGTGTTGGCCCTGCGACAGACTGGCGACCTATCCGGGGTGTACCCTGCCTCTCGCCCTATGACAGCTGGGATAGGCTCCAGCGCCCCCCGCGACCCTGAAAAGGAGAAGCGGAAGCGAATGGATGGATGGATAATCTACCTCTGTCATTCCCAGCATGGCCTAAAACTCAAGACTTAATATTAAAAATGAGAATAAATGGCTGGTTGTTTGCAGACTTAATGAAACCAGCAAAATGGAGTGAGTTTCCCTCCATGCACGGCAGATTATTTCACAGTAACAGGACAAATAATCCCAGCTCTCGCCTTGGGAACGTGACGCTCATTAATGTTTCTACTGCTTCCAAACAGGTTAGTGTAGTTTGGATTTGTTTGAGGCAGCAAAGGTGGAGTCACGACGTCGTTCTCGGTTAATGTTGTGAGACTCTTTAAGGAAACTGTGTGATGGAATTTTTTTCCTGGCTTTAATAAAAAGAAATGAGCTAATTAACAAATAAAGTGAAGTTTTAACTTCTCACATTCACCCACTCGCTCTCACACTCTTTGTTTCACTTTAGATTAGTTTGTTGCTCGGTTACATAACTTTGTTTAGAGGGCAGTTACATAAAAATATGAAAACATATTTAACACAAGGAGAAGCAGCAGCAAAGGTTCACCTTTGTATTAGAGCACAGAGAGAAATGTTTAAAAGAAAAGTTTAAATGTTTAAACTGAAACTGAAATTCCAATTTTCCAAGCAAAACTATTGATCACAGAGATTGAAGATCTCTTCATCATCATGATCATTTCCCTAACACTCAGCGATTTGAATTAAATATCTGAGGTAATTTGTTTTCAGTGTTCACCTCAAATTTTCTCTTTATACTCATTGGTTTGTTACACCACAGTTTTAATCTGCTGCTGCACTACAATCCACTTTTCCTGTTCCTTTACTCATTTGCAGTCTGTGTATTTACCTCTGGGATATAAACCTGTCTTCTTCCTGCAGGTTTATGTCTCCATTAAACTGTTTTTTTAAATCTCCCACAGTCAATGAAAAGTCACTTCACTGATTAGGTGAAAAAAGCTTAAAATTATTTAATATGAACCCTTTAACTCTGGAAGTACTCGATGACTGACTTTAGTTATATTTATTGATAATTTATAGATTGATTTAGTGAACCTCACACGGTGAAGAGCAGCCTCCTACCGTTTATCGTCCTTTGACATGTGGCTCCCTCTGCTGGACAAACCCTGAAACAGCAGACAAAACAATTTTTATATTAATTTTGCAAGTTACACCTCTAGGACAGGTGAATGAGCATTCATAGCACGCTATTTCACATTTACTTGCAGCTGTTAAAGCCGAGCAGAACATCATGGTCCAAAGGTCCTTCAGTAAAAGACGAGGAAACTTTCCTAACCTGTTTACTGATTGTGAGTCTGAGAAAATGGTTCAAACTGAGCCTGATCTTTATACGATATTTACAACCGGGTTCTCAGTGGAGGAAAACGTTGCTTGCTGTTTGGATCCATTTGAGTCCAGTGAGGCTAAAATTTGAATAAAATCACAGTTTATTTTAATTATTGGCTCCATAGTGGAGTTGAATCAAATTAAACGTGGAGTTGAAATTAGTCTCATTGTTGATCTTAAGCAGATAATGAAGCTGCAATAAACTGACTGTTAAACACAAATATTGAGCAGTAAGCTTTTGAGGACAAATTAATATAAAGACGAGGGTTCAAACAGATGAGACAGACCCAGTGAGACTGACTTGAATGGTTTCCACATTTAAACAAACCTCACTTTAAACTACAGCCATGACCAGAAGTATTTGAACTGACAAATTAAAGCTCTGATGTTCAGCTTTTTCAGAGGGTTTCATAAAAATGCTGCGTTAACTGTTTACGAATTAAAGCCATCTTCACACAAACTATAAATACTTCTATATAGGAATAATTTACAAAATTATGGACCTGACTGGAGGTTTGGCTCCTCGAAGATTGACACAAACACAAATAAACACCCAGGAGTCATGTTTCAGTTTCATTACCAGAATATTTATTTTATTCTTTTTCTATTAAAACACTAGCTGCCATATTTAATAAAACAGCCAACGGCCAAGTGCCTCAGTCCTCATCCTCCAATCAAAACTCCTCAGACAGGTCACACAGGTCTGTGGGCGTGTCCTTGGCTTTGCTGCTGCAGTGCGAACTAGCTGGCCCCTCCCCTCCCCCAGTGATTGTTGTTGCTAGTAGGTGGGCGGAGTCGCGCGTGGTCCCCTGGAAACCATCTCCATGACAGGAAGTGGAGTATTGCATCGTTAAGTGACGGCCAGCTGAAGAGGGAGGGGTTTCTTTTCCGTTTTTACCCCTTTTTGTTTTCCATAAAAATACTGCCTCACTTTTATGTATACATATTTAAAATACATATACATAACTGGACACTGGTGTCTCCTGGCAGTTAAAGATATGAAAAATTCAAAGCCTTAAAATAAAAACTTTTTGGGATGATTTTTGGATTTTTGAAACTTTCTCAAGCTACAGCTATGAGCTAATTAGCTTAGCATAAAGATTGAATGGGCTTTAACAGGTAGCTTAGGTCTGCCCACAAGAAAAGCACCTCACGATTAGGATGGTATGTTTGTTTAAGCGGCTTTAAAAAGTGTAAAAATCAGAATTTCCTTGGAGTATAGTTTTAACTGGTCCCAACACAACAAAGTGTATGTAGCAGATTAAACTAAACAGACCCATGAGAGCCGGGCTGCCAGTGTCCACTTCCAGTGTTTTTGCTAATGATGCTAATTATCTCCTGGCTGTAGCTTACAAGCAAGGTGGTGGCGGTGTCATGAGGATCCAATTGGTTTGACTGTTACCGTGCAGAAAACAGTTGGAACAAAATTTAATTTTAAAAAAAGAAAAAAAAGAAAAAAGAAAATAATGTTAAAGGTAAAGAAATAGGAAGTTTGAGAAGCAGAGAGCAGTGTTAACAAAAATTAACATAAAATAGGTGAAAAGCAGCAGGTGGAGCTTTCTACATGTGCTGATGGAGCACCTGGGGTTAAACCTGAAGCTACCTCACTAAACCCCAGGTTCTGCATTTCAGTACAGACCTCCGCTCAGTGGGAAACTGTGTGACTCACTGTGGGGGGCTTTCAGTGCAGCAAGTAACTGTAATCTTTAAAAGTGGATACAGGCAGCAGAGTTTGAGTTTTGATCTCCAGGCAGAAGCCTTGCAAGAATAACAATTAAAATATCAAACAGATCGCAGGAGTAGAAATAGGTGCAGCTATCCAACAATAAATCCATCCTATTAAATATTATGGCCACTTATCCTCAGGATAAACTGACAGTGGGATAAACTGGGAGATTAAACCCTGAACAGGCTAACAGAGAACAACAGACAACATTAGCATCACCAATCATCCCAACGTCTTTGTAGCTGTAAGGTCAGGGTAGTGATTGGTGCCTCCTGATCAGGTTTTAGCCAGAGCCAGGAGAATCTGATTTGGGGTTTTATTTACTTAAACACAGCAGACATTTTCTGATTATCTAATCAACGAGAACTTGAGAAAAGTGCGCTGATTTCTATTCAAATAAAGCAAGACAAACTGAGTCCCTTTGCTTTACCAAACAGCCATGTTTACTATGGTGAGAACCCGATTATGAGGCAGCAAAACTCAAAATTATTTTTGTTGTAACTGTTCTTATATGGCAAGTGTCAGTTATTTCACCAAACTAAAGCTGACTTCTGCATGGACTAACATATGATCCGACGCAAAGGAGGAAAATCTAAAAAAAAGAAAAAGAAATTATTTTCTTTTTTCTCCATCTTGAAAAAGCTGAAAACAAGATTTGTAGTAGATAAATCTGAAATGGCATTCACCAGATTTCCAATTTAACGCCATTATCATCCAGAAAGACAAATCGGTTTTCTTAAATGCCAACCTCAGATTTCTGTCTTTCAAATGACAAAAAAACCCCAAAAACCTAATGTCTTTTTCTTTTTCATTTTTAAACAGGCTGCCACCTCAGGAGGATAAAATAACTGCAGATGGTGAAATATGTATAAAAAACGTAATTTAAAAAAAGAGAGATTTCCTGCCTTTTCCTCGAGGTATAAAGGGAACGTGTCCACCTGTGAAAGACCTCCCTGCAGTATGAAATCACCTGCTGCACTCTCACCTGTCTCTTTAAATTAAACCCGCTTTATAACACAAAGGAACCAAAGGGGAAAAAAAGGATATTTTTTCCTCTTTTATTATGAAATAGTGCTACAATGTACATTGCATGTCCTCCTGACTGTCTGATGATGTGCTCTGGTTTGTAATGCTGGGGGATAAACCTGATAAAAGAGAGTGGGTTAAAGATATCGCCAGGTTTCAGAGAGGTGCAACACAGTGGGAAATAATTATCCATCCTGAAAGGTGATCACTTCCTGTGTTAAAATCTGGTTTCTCTTAAAAGCTTCTGGAGACAAAAATAGTCGATTCTTAAGACTGAGCAGAAACATGAGTCACTCAATCAGATGGACACTTTGCAGTGCTTGTGTCTGTGTATCGAGCCTGTGGTCCACTTCACAGACCAGCCAAATCAAACTGATGGAGAAGTGTGAAATTTAAAAAAATAATAATAACGATAATGAGGTAAAGAAGGAACAAAAATATGAAAAAAATAAAAGGATGAAGTCTGTTCAGAGAGGAGGACAGGAGCCAGGATGTCCTCCCCGTTCAGTGTGTGCCGGTGGAAAAACCTAATGGGGTCAGGAGGGCCAATGGCAGGCAGGCAGTAGGAGAGACAGCCAATCAGAAGGCCTGCTGGGCAGGATTGTAGTTGAAGGTGGAGGGAACGTGAGGTCGCTCTTCTAGTTTGTCATATTCCAGATGAAATTCCTGAAAACGAGGAGGAAAGTGGTACATTGTCATCGACTGTACACAGCGTTCATCATATTCTGTGTTTACTTTCAAAATGAAATTTTAGCTTTGGATTTAATGGGATACAAATGCATATTTTTATTTGATCCAATCACATTTTACTATTAAAACAGTTAGCTTTTTTTTCCAGAATATAATTGTTCTCAAATGTAGACTTGTTCAATAAAATCAAACAGAAGTTCTGAACCTCATTTCAAGCAGATCTACAGATCCAGGACAAACAACAAACATTCCTCGCAGAGATGAAGTCTCAAAAATACTTCAGTAATGATCGGTTCATCAGATCTCTGTATGTTCTTCCTCCCTTGGAGGGGAAAAAAGTAGTAGAACCTTCTTCTTCACTTAGTTTTTCACCTGAGGAGCTTTTTTAGAGGCTGAGACACGGATAGCAGCAGAAGGAGCTGCCCTTACCACCACACAGCTGTACGAATGCAGTCTTTAGTACTGAGTGTTCAAACACTCGGACCAGTTTCATGAAATCAAGATCTGAGAACTGTCAACCTGATCAAATGTAGGCAACACATCCTGGTGCTGATTTAAAGTGTGCGTGTGTGTGTGTGTTCGTTCACCTTGGCCACCTTCCTCCAGTTGAGGCAGTCGAAGAAGTAGTAGGTCCCTCTCTCATAGGCGTTGGTCTTCAGTGTGGGCTCCATCCCCGGAGCTCGAGTGATCCAAACCCGCTCCTCTTTATGATACCTCCAGTCCCTGTTAAACCTGGACACGCACACACACGTGGAAATGATCGCTTTAAACAGCTTGTACACCATCATAAACGCAGAGAGACATTTCAGACAGCCTGGGGTTCTTTTGGATGCTTTAATCTTTATTTGTAATGAAGATTAAAACATTTTAAAAAGATGAGAAGCTTCTGAAAAATAGATTCAATCATTAAAAAAAACATTTGCAGACTTATCTTAATATGGAAGGATGTATTTTAGATCAGTATGGAAAAGTGGAGAGTTTGTTGGTGATGACAAGAAGCTGGTGAGCGGATTTCTTTAAAAAACTGATTGCACTGAACGCCAGCACAACAGGAAACTATGAAATCTTACTTTTATCTCAGTTTCAAGCAATTTTCTCATCCAAACATCAAAGTTATTTAGTTTCCACCCACGTGGTGACTGACTTAGTGTGATTAGGGTGCAGTAATGACCGGTCGCTCTTACAGTTCTACAGCAGCCAGCAGTTGTAGGAGGTCTCCTCCGTTCATATAGTAGAGATAAAACAGCAGATCTTCACCATACCGAGACAACTTGATAGCTGCTAACTGCACGTGAGAGAGAGAGACAGATTAATACGGACACATTTTTCAGGAGATCAGTCTCATAACAATCATGTAAAGGACCTTTGGGGTGTCTTGTGAAGGAGGTACCTTGTCCCTTATGTGGATGTTGGTTAAATACTCTGAGGGGACGTGGAAGTCTGCAGGAAAAGAAAAGAAAAGATAAAATCAACAAACAGGACAAAATGAAAAGCTTCATTAGAAAAACTGCACAACTGGTCTGCATGTAATTAATGCAATGAACAGGCGTAGAGCATTTTGATGTTATTTAAGCAACTAAAATTAAATCAATTTAAACTTCAGTAAATTCAGTCTCACATTATAAAAACTGATTGGAAAAAGAATCATGATGCATTAACTCGTTCAGACCACATGGAGGCAGAAAAACTCCAGATTTAAATTTCCTGCTGATGAAGGACTCAACGAGTCCTTATAAATATATATAAACGAGTTTGGCAAACACGCATTAAAAGCAAAGACTTTTTAAAATAAAACAGAATTAAGAATTAAAATCATTTAAAAACTGTTTGAATCAGCCATGATGATTGTCCTCTGTTGGCCACCAAAACTTTTAACATACAGCAAAAACCCTGAAGAAGAATCTGTGTTCAAGAGTTAAAATTTCCAACTTTGGTGAAAATTAGCTTCACTGCACAGCGTGAAAACCAAGAAGCAATCAGAATGGAAGAGCTCATCGATGCTGTCTGGGGGCGGCTGGAGCCAAGCGGTTCTTCACTGTCAAAGAAAAAGCTCTAACTCAGTGAGGGCTAACAGTCAAACTTCAGGGAAAGCCGTGAAAATGCGTCCAGAAATCGAGAGGACTCCTCCTCGCCCTGCTGGCTGTTTGGAGTGAGCAGGTTTCGAATGAAGCTGGTTTCTTATGTACGACCACATCAATACACTGATGTCGTTCACATATCAGGTCAATTTTGCTTGTCTATTTTAATTCACTCTGCAGGCTGATCTGTCACTTTACTGCTGCACTGACACTGACAGAAATGCCTCTGAAGTCCGAAAAAGAGTCAGACGCTCAGAGTTTCTGAGCCTGTAGAGGTTCCAGCACCTCTCTGAAGTCAGAGTAAACTTAGCATCAGCCTTCACATTTTTCACAAAGTATCGTTTCTAATGGTGAGCAAATGGCTCTTCTACAGGTCTGTGAGAAAATGAACACTTTCATGCTGACTTCAAGGTCTCAGGCTACACCCACACTAGCCCGGATAGATTTGAAAATGGCGGTTGTGTCTAAAAAAAAAAAAACGCTCTGCGTCCACACTATCGCTTTCAGTATCAGTCGTTTTCCCAGAGTTCATATATAGACAGCGTCCATATTGAAACGGCAGAAAACTCTTACGTTCCAGTATTGCGCATGCGTGAAACGCAAGAAGATTCGACCTGCCTCATTTCTGTCTGCCGCTTATTTACTTTCCGGCTCTTTGAAATGTCGCGGCAAAATATCGAGGAAAATCACAGAGTTTTTTAAATGGACTAACAATGAGGTGGAGTTGTTGCTGCGAGTAACACAAAAGTACAAAGTTGCAAAAGCAATTGAGAATTAAAGAATTTGAAGAAAAGTTATCTGAAGCATGTACAAACTGATATTAATCTTTAATTGATTAATTTTAATCTTTAATTAATCTTTAAAATCTTTAAAATTGAGAGCAAACAAAACAACTGCTGTATAATGCCCTCCGTTTAGTTTAATTGGCCACTTGACTGCATCACACCGTTTTCAAATCTCTGCGTTTTCGAGAGCGTTTTTAAAACGCTGCGTTTTCCTCGAGCGAAAAACGCAGTCTCAATGTGGACAGGAGGCCAAAACGGGGAGAAAACAAAAACGCATTTAGTGTGGACATAGCCTCAGTCACTACTTCCAGGTTGGTGTTAAACTCACCTATATCCTGCGGTCGACATGGAGCCGATGCCCACGGAGACGCAAACTTAGGATAGAGATTCCTGACAGAGAGAGGGAGAGAGAGAGGGTCTGAGTGTGAGAACAGTGACAGGTCATTCAGCTGCTGCTGCGGCCATTCAAAAAAAACAAACTTTAAAGACGCCGCTCGTCTCCAACTATAAATCGCGTTTGCATGTGCAACTCGTACTCAGGCGAGTTGAGGTTGAGGCCAAGTGTGGTGAGGTCTGAGCCCAGCGCCAGGTGGACCATGCCAGGGTCGGTCTCCGCTGCCCGGATGAACGTCAGCAGGCCAATCATTCCAAACTGGTCTGTTACCATGCCACCAGGGATATTGGTCACTCGCCCTGGGACACAAAGACAACAGAGGATTACGGATTATCTTAAAATCTCTCCTGCTTGTTTTTTTACCCAAACTCACTCAAAGATAAGAAAATCTCCATCTAATGGTTTTGAGTTAATTAAATGAGACGAACAAAAGCAAAACAAAAAAAACAGTGCAAAGGAAGAGCTCCCTTTTAAGACAAAATCCACCTGCAGCATCAGGCTGAGGGTGGGAAAGCTATCTGCTGTGACAGACTGGGGATGATGAGGACGGAGGAGAAATAAGGAGGATGAAAGTGTTCGGAGGTTCTTTTAATACACAGATTAAATTCACATTAACGATTTTCAGTTCCGGCCTTTTTTAATTTGGTTAAACACGTCACAGCTGGGTATTCAGAAACCTATTAAACCCTTTCATAGCAACATAAAACCGCATTTGTTTGGCAGACTCATCATCTGATGACAACATTTATGATTTTACATGTTCCATTATAGTTTCAGCTGCTGAAACAAAAGTATTTCCCTACAGTAAGGACAAATTAAGCTTTTCTTATTTTATCTCGAGTCTGTGATAAACTAATAAAGCTCTTATGTCCCATTCATTTCCTTTCTCTTTAAATTCTCAAAGAGATGACTCTAAACATTTTCAGGGTTAACATTCAGAAACAAAGATCAGCTGATGTCTGGCTTTTGAGCGATTATCTGATTGAACTGTCTCACCGTCAGGAAGCACCTGAATCCCTTTCTTCTGCTGGTTGTTGTTGCTCGGTGCAGAGCTCTTATCGCCGGGGAACTTTGGACCATCTGAGTTAGAGGCTGGCTTTCCCGATGAGTTCAGATTCTGATTGGATGGAGACAGACGGGACAAATGAGGATGAGATGGGAAGTTAAAGAAGCAGAAAGCGGATGACGGAGAGACAGAAATGTCACCGTTTTGCTGTCTTCGTTGGTGCTGGTGGGGTCTTTTGTTTGGTAGTTTGGCCCTGGGAGAGCTGGGAAATCTTCGTTGTGGATGGAGAAGTCCTGCGACTGCTCACTGGACGGCTTGGTTACCATGCCAACTGGAGAAAGTGACCAATTGCAGGACATTAACAAAACACACAACAGAAAGACACACTGATCAGCAGCAAATGTAAGATTTTTAAAGGTTTTTATTGAATATCTATTGTGTTTGACCAACGGTTGAAAATATTCAGTTTACTATAAACCAAGGAAGAAAATCCACTAAAATAAGCGTTCCGTATTTCTCATCACTGTCCCCCAGCGTGCTTCAATTGAAGTTAAAGCAAATATTCTAACAGCTCCATAAATGGTTTGATTTTCTTTACATTTTATTGGCTGCTTGACTTTTGTAAAGTCTAGACCACTGCGTAGAATTAAAGGACAACTCTATATTAGACAAACGGACACAAACAGATAAATGTCCCTTCTTTATTACCGTAGGGAGCTCGACCGGTCAGCGGGTTGTGCAGTGGGGTGGGATTCGAACCTCCATCCCTCCGACTCCTGTCAGCTAATGCCGGGAAATCTGACAGGTCCAACCCCGTCACATTCTCACTGCCGTCTGAAACGAGTTCAGAGAGGTCACATTACAGCAGGTTGGGTAACAGCTAGGGATGGGTACCGGTGTCCGGTGCCATGATGGCACCGGTTCTGACATAAACGGTAGTAACCAGACCGAAAAGAAGCTCACATTTCGGTGCTTTATTTCGGTGCTTTTTTTTCCTGAGCTGTGATACACTTTAGATTCTAGCCAATCATTTTACGTTTCCGAGGATAGTAGGCGGGGCCAGGTACGTACGTTCTGTTAGAGCAGAGCTACAGATTAAAAATGTCCAAGGCGAAGCGGTCAAAAGTCTGGCTGTACTTCACAGCAAAATATGCAAACTCAGCAGCCTGCAACAAGTGCTTTAAGGTGATACTGTGATACTGTCAAAGGAGGTAACACCTCAAATCCGATGAAACACCTGGCGACGCATAGCGTTTTTTTTAAAAGCCCAGAAATGCGCCGTATTTGATAGCTTGCTGCGAGACCTCACACCGAGCACATCTACTGTGGGTGGGTTGCCTGTTATGCAACATCCCCCAAAAACACGAAGAGGAGAGTCCTGGCCCCTAGCCCTGCCAGTGTAGCAGAAATGATGACGGATGATGGTGGCAGCAGCCGTTCTTCTCTGCGTGAGTAGCTAATTTACGTTGAGTAGGCTAACCACGTTATTACATTAATGTATGTAAGGTGAACTAGCAAACATCATCATAGCTACATGCGGCTGTCCTCTTGTTTGATGGCAGATACTCCCTTCACCCTGGCTAAAAAGGCTAAAATGACCAAAGAAAAAGTGGAAAACAGTTAAACATGAGAGGTTCAGGACAAAGTTTGTGTTTTTTCCATTGTTTAAGCACTGCTTCCAGCCAAGAGTGATACCATATATGCCCCATAGCTGCAGAAAAGGCTAACATTGTTATATTTTTACAAAAAACAGCTGAACATGAGAGGTTTTTGGACCAATTTTGTGTTTTCCATTCTTTAAGCACCGGTTTGAGCACCGTTTGAGCACCGGCACCGTTTCAAAAGTACCGATTTGGCACCGGTATCGGATAAAACCTAAACGATACCCATCCCTAGTAACAGCTGACAGATTTTTTAAAATTCTGATGTCACTCTGTTACCTGTGCCATTGAAGATGTTGTTGGATAGCGAGTTGTTCATGAAGCCTGGATTCCTGTTCACCCCGAACCCTGACATACTGACACACACACACACACACACACACACACACACACACACACACACAGGTTTTGCGTAAATTTCATACAGGTTTTTGCCATTATGAGCTCTTCCTCTCTATCGTTTCAAATCATAAATAATAATAAACATTCCTGAACCCTCGTCTCCATCACACGGTCCAGATATGCTGCTGAAAACCTTCCTTTCTAACAACACAGGTCAAAGGTCACATCTGGACCGCAGTGATGCGAGTTACCTGTTGATGGTAAACGGCTGCCGTGCTTGCTGCTGTTTGGGCATCCCGATGATGCTGGGTGACGACCGGCTGGGACTCCCCATACTGCCGCTCCTCCCTCCTCCACCTCCACGCTCTCCGCCTCCCATCCCACCTGACTGCCCCGTTGGACCCCCCACCTGCTGGTTGTGATTGAGCACACTCCGGCTGCTCATGGGCAGTATTCCCCTGCAGGAAGAAGTTTGTGGTTTGAAGAAGAAGCAGAGACACTGACAGAGAGTTCTTATAATGAGTGCACACAGTGTGAGGGGTACCTGCTGGGTGAGGGGGGCGTGTGCATCGAGCCGGCATTGGGCGTACTGGAGAGCTGACCGGCAGACTGGTTCAGCCCGCTGCGACTCAATGGAGGAGCTGCACTGCTGTTCATGCCTCGCATGGGAAACCCCAATGCACCTACAGAGAGAGCAAGCAGACAAGCGTGAAAAACGAGGTTGACTCTCCCACGTTTTCTCTGAGATAACATCACAGTAATGAGTCGACATTATTCAGAAGAAACAGGTCAGTGCCTGTCCGTCTTACTCTGCGGGCCGTACAGGCTGGCTCCGAGCTGTGACAGCTGACCCGTAGAGGAGGCAGAGGAAGACGCCAGCATCTGAGGAGGACAAACACACAATCACACAGATCAAAACACAGAAACACACACAGCAGCTGCAGATGAAGCAGCATGCTCTGTTACTGTCAACCACTCAGGTAAGCTGTGAAGGGCTCTGTGCTGCATCCCCGGGCAGTGAGGACAAAGTGAGGATGAATAGAAGAGGACAGAGATGACAGGGAGACGAGCTGTGTGCTGTTTTTACAACAAGAGACTAGAGCTGGGCGATATGAGATTTTTTCATATCACGATATGTTTTTTTCATTTCAGGCGATAACGATATCTATCACGATATAAGCCAAATAACTATATTTGTAAGATTTAAATGTGCCGTTGCTCACAAGTAAAATGTGAAATAATCAGCAGCTTGTTTTTATTTAAATATTTATTTCCCATAATAAGTTCAACAGGGTAGATGTACTTAAGGAACATGAGACTTTTTCAGATAAATAAAGGCAAATATTGCAAACTACACAAAAGGCAGCCGCTAAAGCGTTTAAGTTTCAAAATAGAACAAACAAAACAGACTACAAATTGTCAATTCCACTTAGAAACAAAATATTAATTCTAAAAATAAATCTTAGTTTGTTTTACAGAAGAACAGACAAAATCTGACTAACTTTTGTCAATATCAAATAAACTGAGAACTAAAAGGAAATTCTCAATCTCTCCTTGTTGTATAGCTTGAGCTTTTCAAACAGTTTTAACAGTTACTTTAGTCTGACAAAAGCGTAGGCGAAGTAGTGTATGAACATTAAAGAGAGTAGAATTAAGACTGCTTGCTCAACAGTAACAGTATAGTACACATGACGAATTGCGCTCAGCAGGATGGCTCGTCACACGTACACGGGTATTTTTGAAAACGGAGATTTTCCGTTTTCGTTTTAAAAAATAATCCCGTCCACACATAAAGGCAGAAATGAAGGAAAACGCTGCTATGAACATGCCAAAGCAGCAGGTGGCGCTAGATTCCTAACCGTGCAGAAATGTTGGCCAATCAGAAGTCTAGAAGCCTCGGTGGGAAAAAGTAAACAAAGCTGGGGCATAGAAGCAGAACCGAGTCGTATGTGTGGAGGGACAGTAACTGTGTGTATATGTAAGCATTTAAACACTGCAGAGAGTAGAATTAACAGAGGTGTGGACTCGAGTCACATGACTTGGACTCGAGTCAGACTCGAGTCATTAATTTTATGACTTTAGACTTGACTTGAAAAAATGTTCTAAGACTTGTGACTTGACTTGGACTTTTACACCAATGACTTGGGACTTGAATTGGACTTGAACCGGTTTACTTGAAAAGACTTGATATTTTACCCCAAATATAAAATTTAACATGCATATTATATAGAGATTGAAAATGTGACGTCATTCACGGGTAGAACCGCAAAGGATTCTGGGAACTCGTGGCAAGCGGTACTAGCGCACGCAGGCTTTCAATTAAAATCAGTTATACAGCGATAAAAAGAAACACAAAAATGTCAAGAAGCTGTTGTATTATTAACTGCAATAGCCGGTCGCATGACAGCCACGGGAAGCCGACGGGTAAAGAGATCGGTTGTTATCGGATTACGTCGTTGAAGAGAAATTGTTCGAGCCATGTTTCCGAAGTAACAAAGACGCGACGGATGGCCTGGATTGCAGCCATTCAAAGATCAAATATAACGTCCCAGAACACTCCAGCTCACAGGTTAGTCTGCTCCAAGCATTTACACGAAGGTCAGTGTTTTTTAGTAGTTAATACGTCATTTTCATAACATAATTGGTGATATAGGTTACAAGCAAGTCTGGCGCTGAACAGAAATTGTCGCGCTATGCTCCTTTATTTATTGTGCATAAATAGTGAATTGTCCTGACACAATATTGCGTTTCGCTTCTGTTATTATGGTACATTGACAAAAACATATACTTTTATTCACAGGATAAAACAGGTTTTTTGTATCACTAATTGCCCAGTACGATTACAGCATACAGTATTATTGTCACTGCTACATTTCTGTGATGGTACCAGAAATTATTTCCACTACTAATTAATTACCGTTGAGCTCAAAGGTCCTATTAATAAACGGTTAAGGAATGTGTATTTATGACGACGATTTGTGAGACTGGTAAACTTATGATACGTACGATGGTCTTTCGTTCTACACGGTGCATTTCAAGGTCCTGCACCCATCCGTCGGTAAACTGTACCTGGGCTTGTTGCAGTGACCTGAAGTTACTAAACTTCATGAGTGTATGCACTCACTCCAAGAACCGTATGATTATAAATATGCATATAAATATGCTACGATGAGATAGCTGACTTCATCTAACTAGCAAATGTTGTCCAGGCTACGTTGGTGATGCAGTTTTTTTTAATGTGTATGATATTTTTGTCATGCGATTTTAAAGCCGGTCCTACAACCGCATCCAAGAATAACATGCAGCTTATCTCAGAACTGTCGGTGAAAATTATTCTTGGAGCTAGGTTTAATTGAGCTGCATTTTAAAGAGGTGCAATTTCACAATTTGTGTATATTTTCTAAGTTCACTATTTTGTCATGTGTTGAGAAAAACACAGATTTAAAATTACATGGTCTAATATTTACATTTAGCATAACTGCAACATTATTTTTTCTTTTTTTTTTTTAAAGACTCGAAAGGACTTGAAATTCAAAGTTTCAGACTTGTGACTTGACTCGGACTTTTACACCAGTGACTTGAGACTCGACTCTGACTTGCCTGACATTACTTGAGACTTGACTTGAGACTTGAGGATAAAGACTTGAGACTTACTTGAGACTTGCAAAACAATGACTTGGTCACCTGCTAGGAATTAACAGTAACAGTATTGTAGAAATTCATTTCACCGAAACAATAACGTGGCGCACAGTGTGACGCATGCACCAGTTTATTGTATTTCCAGACTTGCTTTCGGCACAATTTACAGTGCACGCTACTCTGTTTTTTGTCAGACTTGAAATAGCCGAAATACCTTCACACTACGGAACTTCTATGGCTCTTCCGTTCGACAATCTCTCCGGCATTGGAACCATCATCTGTTTTCTCTTCGGTCACGCTCGGTTGATTTTTCTAGTCGGCACACTCATTTCCTCCATTACCCGCTGGCTGCTTCCCAAACAAACACACGTGCGGCTTGGCACTTGTGCTGTACGTAACAAGTCACGCGACGTGACGCTGCGGCTGCGATTGGTTCGGCTCTGTGCTACTGAATTTGGATTGGCTGACCTTTTTTTTGTTTTTAAGAGGACAAGAGCGGCGAGGTCTATCGCGATAGCTTAATTTCTCTATCGAGTAAAAGTTATATCGCGATACATATCGTTATCGTTCTATCGCCCAGCTCTACAAGAGACTCATTTTTCTTTGTTTTTGCTCGAGTTGCTTCACACAGAGCTCTCACCCCCTTGGACAGCAGTACCAAATATAAGGCCTGGGGAGCAGGATTGGCCTGGCATAACCTGGCCTGGCCACTCAATGGGTTTGGAAAATGTGAAGGAGGGCTTAAATGTTTGCACTTTTAAATGTACTTTAATGCGCTTTTCCTGCTGATAGAAGCCTCCCCAACAGCCGTTCATACTAAATTAAAGTAATTAATTAATAAATAAACAACTAAATGACTGGAAGGTTTCTGTTTTTTCACTACTAAGTATAGAAATTTCAGATTTTTTTAAATGACATTTTAAAACTGACATTTTCTGGACAGTCTAGCCAATGAGCTACAAGAAGATTTTTTTTTCTGTAATTTTACACATTTTCTTCCTAATAAGAATTATGCTGACAGATTTCTTTTATTTATTGCAGCATATTTCTTTATCATTTGGAAAAATTGAGACATACTTCTTTTTCTAGTGCATGAAGTACAACACCTGGAAAAAGTGACAAAAACGGGCCCAAGATATCATCTTATATTCAATACTGTGTACTTCCACTTGGATTTAGGGCATTTTTTTTTTTAACATGAGGATACTGAATTTCACACATGTGAATGAAATGTAATGCCATGGGGCACTATGCCTTATGTACATGTGCAAGACCCATAAAACGCCTCTGAAGTTTCTTGACTGGCTGAGCATGTCCAAACCCTCAAATGCAGTTTTTGACAATAATTATAAACCGTAGGGCTGCTCAATTAATCAAATTTTAATCTCGATTACGATCTGGGCTTTCAACGATCATTAAAAATGACTGAGCCGATTATTAGCCCCTCCCTCGTGCTTTACTCTCGCGCTGCTCCGTGTGGCAAATCGAGCGCACCTCTCTGCATTTCGAACACGTGTCACAAGAGCAGCGGTCTCCAACCTTTTTTGCGCCACGGACCGGTTTATGCCCGACAATATTTTCATAGACCGGCCTTTAAGGTGTCGCGGATAAATACAACTAAATAAAACTAGTACCGGTACCGAAAAAAAAGAACATTTATTCATAACACACGTGAAAAGACCAAGAAAAACCGAGTAAACGATAACAAAATAACACTGAAAACCGATAAAAACCCTGAAAACTATACATTTCACACCTGAGCCTCAACTCTCACGGCCCGGTACCAAATGACTCACGGACCGGTACCGGTCCGAGGCCCGGGGGTTGGGGACCACTGATTAAGAGGACCCGAGGGAAGCTCGGAAAGCTAAGCAGAAGTTATTTGGAGAGGAGAGTGACTGCCGTTGGTTGAAAAGAGAGGTAAAAAAAACTTCAGTGGTGTGGAAACATTATGGGTTCGCGGAGTCAGACATGGACCAAGTAGACATAGTGTGTAAACTTTGCTACAGTGTCGTAGATGCACCACAGAGCAACACTGCAAAGTTCACTAAACATAGATGTTTACATTTTTCATTTATTTTTTATATTGCAAACATTTGCACTGTTATCAGTATTTGCACACTATTTTATATATTTTTTGACAATCTTTAAAGTTAACATTGTTATTGTTAAATAAATATCGTCAAATAATCGAGATCTCAATTTCAGTGAAAATAATCGTGATTATCATTTTTGCCATAATCGAGCAGCCCTAATAAACCGTAATGATTGCTGAACGTGCAGGACTCACGTCTTTGTCCGCACGGTGAGGAGGGAACATGGACTGCTGGCTGTAGTAGAGACTGGAGTCGTCCGGGTAGTCACTCTCTATCCCTCCCTCCATAAACTTCTTCCGGTTAGCACCAAACATGCCGCGTGTCACCTGGGAAACAAGACAGGAAACAGTCAGACCAGTCATACCTGGACAGAAGTCATTCACTGTCATGGAACATTTCATGCTCTGAAACCAGAAACCTGCTTCTGAGCGTGCTCAGAGTCTCATTCAGGAACGACTTTTGCATGACTCACAAAAAAAATTGAAATTCAATTTTTAAAAAGAAAAACAAAATTCATATAATATTTAGTCTCACTGCTTAATCTCAGGTTTACAGGCTGAGCTGCACTGCTTACGTTTAGATTTTTATGTAATTGTTTTAAGCTTGTTTTTAAAGATACTTCTTATCATTTTCTGCCAAAAACAAACAAATAACTGAACATTTTAATGTTTTTCAGCCTGATCCCAACTCCAACATCTGGATCAGGTTTCAGTATCTTCCCTGTGTGTTGTGCTGACAGCAGTGAAAAATCAATAAGCTACACTCCTCTCTGTGAGGCTTCCTTGATATAAATGTGTCTGTGAGCTGATGTTTACTGTTTCTCCTCTGAGTCGCACTGTGGTGGACCTCCTCACTCAGTGTGGCGCAGAGAGGCAATATTAATGCTGTGAACAACATGTTGTGTTACTGTCAGAGCAAAAAAATACAAACTTAAAAACATGTTTTAGCAGCTTCTCTGAACATTTTCAGCCATGACAACAGTTTAAGTGTTAAAGTAAGACCTTTTTTAGAAAGTATGTTGGTGCAGCAGGTGTGTAATAGCTGTGCTCACCTGCTGCCTCGCAGCAAAGTAAGCAGAGAATAAAGCTGAACTGAGAGAGATACCCGATCCAGGCTTCTGAGGCCGATGTGTGATCCAAACAGATCAGTTGATCCCTGATCAGCAGTTTGGAGCCATTTAGCTGCTACTACATCAGCAGCATTTCTCTTCAGGTTTTAAATATTTGCTTTAACTGAAAGCTCAAAAGACACAGATGCTTGGGAGGCTTTTACTGCATCTATGGCAGGGTAACCTGTTATCAGAAACTGGATTAATACCATTTCCTTCTCTCGTCTCAATCTGTATGAGGATGTGAACTCACTTTTAGGCTAAATGCTAAGTTCTGGTTAAGCAGCATGCACCGAAAGTGACATTACAGGTGCTAGTGCACAGTGTAATATCATCCGGTCACACCCCTCTCAAATTCATGCACAGAGAAATCAGGTTACAACGACGGAGATGTGACAAAAACACACCTAATCTGGGGAAACACCTGGTCAAAACACAAAGGTTTTAATGTCTGTGGCATGTAAAATGTTTTGAATAAACAAAATATCAGAGGTGTGATCTTACTTGATCAGAAACTTTCAGGGCAGCTAAAGCACTGCAGAAAAGGACTAGTACAAGTTTAAGCGTTGATGGTTCCTGATTTTATTCACAGTGAGAGCAAGGAAAGAAGAAACTGACTAAACCACTAATAAAAATTGAGTTGTTGAGTCTTGAGTGAAGCAGTTGCAGCTGTAGACTCTGATCTGAATTAAGACTGTCACCACAAACAAACCTGCAAAGCTGGACCCATTTTAACAGATGAACCTAGGTTGAAAGCATCCAAACCAAAAAGGCTCAAAACTAAAACACTGACAAAGGTGTGTATCTCACCACAGCTCCTCATACTTCCCAGAATACGTTTTAATTACAAAGACGGAGGAAAGCTTCCACTGTTTAACAACTACAGAAAATCAACCGACTACACATCTTTAAGCCTCTGAACGCTTAGTTCTTTTAACTTTCAGAGTGAAAGAAGTCTGCTGGACGTTTCTGTTTTTTACAGTAAAAGCCTCCACCACTAAATCACTGATCAACAACCAGACTGGTGTGTTTGTGAGGACAAACTGCACATTAGCCAAAAGTAATATCAAAACATCACATCTCATAACATAAAGCACCAGCTAATCTCCATAATGTGTCAAACCTTCCACTAAAACACAAAGCGATGCAAACAGAGATAAGCGACGCCTCCTAAAGCAGGTGCAATCCCAGCTAACAACGGCTAGCTGAGATCCTGCTCGGTTCTGAGGTTTCATAACGAGTTAAAAACCTCACAAACTTTCCTTTTATCACTGCAGCCGAAGCCCAGTCGTCTGCCTGTCTGTCTGTCTCGTTTCTAAGCGGCGCTGAAGGCGCAGCAGTGTCGCAAAAACGGCTAATGTTAGCTTAGAGCGCTAAGGCTAGCGCTGCTAGTGTGTCTGATTAGCGTCAACTCCAATATTAGAATTTCCTGACAGAACTAAATGAGCCGGCTTGTCCCGCCGTGTGCTGCTATTTGACTGCAGGTCTCCAGGAAACAGCAGTTATCAGCAAGCGTTATCTCTTTAGCGTTAAAAAATGTGTCAGACACTACAGCTATCTAGCTGAGCAACGCACACAGGCTAGCAGCTTCTGTCATAGGAATACATGGGGCTGTTAGCATAGAAGCTAAGCTAGCTGTTGCATTTATGTGAACGTAGAAAAGCATCTAATTGGAAACCCGGAGGTCGTTAAATTACGGTTTAACGACTCGGTAACACCGGGATAGACGCTGCTGTACGGACAGAAAATGGGGCTGAGAGGAGAACTGTGGGCAGGTGTGCTTTTGTCCGTGTTTGGGCCTGCTGCGCCTCCGCTGTTAGTTCCCCAAAACAACAACAAAAAGCACCAAAACCGGGCCGCGCCGTTCAGAGCCGTACTGTACCCGACTGCGCCCTTCACCAGCTGGGTCTTTGCAGCGAGCACACAAACTCGGGTTCATTTAAAAGACCCTCAGACCCGAAACTCCCGAAAAAAGATTTTAAAGCAATAAAAAAGGAGCTCACCGCATCAATCCTTCTTCCCCGCTACAATCCAAGATGGCCGACATCTCACTGCCAATCAGGAGGATGTTGGGAAGGCTCCATCACTCTACTCTGTTCTACTCCACTCAACTCTACTGTCAGACACCAGGGCTTTCTCTTTAAGAGAAGATAAAGTTCAACTTCTGTTATGTTCACTTTAACCGGATTACTCTTATGTTCCTCTTCCTCTTCTGTTCCACTCCATGTGAAGTTGAATCAGAAATATCAACTTCACAGTGCACATGTGGCTGCTCTGCAGTGGATTATTTATGAATGTTTGCTACCCTAACTTTTCATTTTTTATTTTAAAACACAAAGTATCTATTGACTTTGTTAATATTAAAAAAGTAACAACATTTTCTTACTTTTATCATAATTGTTATTCCTACAGGGGTTTGTTCATATTAAATAAAAATATTCATCCATACATTTTCTTTTACTTATGGGTCTGGGCCACAGGGGCCATCCTACGGGGTGGATTGCAAGTTGACTTCAAAAAAGAAGTACAAAGTTGTCCACAAAGCTGGACCCAGGTACAGAGATCAGCCAGTCATACTGAGCTCTTGCGTCACCACAAAAAACCCCCAGAATAACTCCCCCTAGACCCGAAGATGCCAAGACGCTTAAACTCCTCCACTTAGAGAAGCAATTTGTCCATGACCCAGAGTGTGTGCTCCACCCTTAAGCTTGTTGGAGAGGTGCTCCACCCTGTGAGATGCTCATCCAGCTTCTTCACCCTCAGTGGTCAACATACGCCGGTGTGAGTTGGAATTCATCATTCACTGAAGGAAACAGAACTGACAATACCACTGATCAGGAGAACCTTTGAACATAATGTCCTTCAGTTACAATTATCTTTTATTGATCAACCTTAAGACATTTTTGTGTTTTCATGTGATTATTTTTCAAAGTAAAAGCAAAAAAAAAGAAAAAAAAAATGCTGATGTACATGTGGACTGAAGCCTCCTAATGTAAATACACAGGCAGAAAAAAACAAAAAAAAAATCATCCTTATTTTTATTTATTTCTAATTTTTGTGCGAATGTTTATTGTCAGTGCTGTATCAAACAGTTTTTATTTGGCTCTAGTTTATTGTAATAACCTTGGTCTTCGTATCCTTTTTACATTGTATGAATATACAATGTTAATATAATCTTACAACCTAGTGTATTTTATTTTTTTTTTACAACTTTATTTAAAGTAAACAAGTTTACATATAAAATGCACATACACATACAATTACATATACAAAACCATGAGCACATACAAAAGGGATAAACAAGGTAGTGTATTTTTCGAAGTCCTTTGTGTTTCACATTTCCCTGAGATCTTGTTTGTCACAGAGTGGACTACGTTTTTGTTTCTGATTGGACCATCCCGCTGAAGCGCAAGCTGGCCAATGAGCGATCAGGAACAGGCCGATGGCGTCGATATAAAGTGAGACTCTGCTGCTACACAGTATCCTGTTTCTCCTCGGCGAACGGAAAAAGATTTAAACATGTCTGGACGTGGTGGCAAAAGCGGCAAAGCGAGAGCTAAGGCAAAGTCTCGCTCCTCACGAGCCGGGCTTCAGTTCCCTGTCGGTCGTGTTCACAGGCTGTTGAGGAAGGGGAACTACGCAGAGCGTGTCGGTGCTGGAGCACCAGTGTATCTAGCGGCTGTGCTCGAGTATCTGACCGCTGAGATTCTAGAGCTAGCAGGAAACGCTGCCCGCGACAACAAGAAAACCAGGATCATTCCCCGTCACCTGCAGCTGGCTGTCCGTAACGATGAAGAGCTGAATAAGCTGTTGGGTGGAGTGACTATCGCTCAGGGTGGTGTGCTACCCAACATCCAGGCCGTGCTTCTTCCTAAGAAAACTGAGAAGGCGAAGTAAACCTCCAGTATTTCATAAAACGGCTCTTTTAAGAGCCACACCAACTTAAGAGTTATCCTCTAATCACAACCCCTGCGCTAACATTTACAATGTGAATTACTATGACACAGATTATTGTGTGTTCTGTGTTGGATGACCTGACGAGACCAGGAACTAAAGCGTTCCCATTTTAATAATTTCACTTTTATTTTTTTTTATTTTTTTCAAAATGATCACCTCAGATTCACCAAGATGGTTGGCTGCATCTATTAGTGAGGTGTCGGTCGCGAACGAAATCGCTTAGAGCCAGATCTTTGACGTGAACAACGCGAACCGGCTCCTCATCGCGAGCTGTGTTTTAGCACAGGGTCTATCATGTTGCCGAGCACAAAGCACTCGAATGTGATGAGCTTTCAATTGTGTTATTTAATTGATCTCGGTAGCTCTGTTTTGGAAGTTCAGTTAACGCTAGAAATGTCTTTTGGAGTTTGTACTGTTTTGTCTCTTCGGTCCACAGCATATATTTATATATCAACACATATAAATAAAACCACGTATTTTATATTAGTAATTCCTTTTGTGTATAATTGTATATTGTTGTAAATAATAAATTAATTAGAGCAACAAAACAACCTGAAGAGGCGGTTCAGAGTCGGCTCTTTTTAGTGAGCCGAGCCGAAAGAGCCGGTTCTCTGAAAAGAGCCAGAAACCCCATCACTAGCATCTATAAACTGTTTAAGCACAGCTCCCAGTGTTACAACAGAGTAGTTATCTCCAATTTCAGTCTAAATCAATTCACAACCACTAACTCAATGACGTAGTGCACCGAGAGCAGACGTTTGCTTTCCCAACCCGGAAATGCGCCTAGCCTGTGAGAAGCTGAAATTGGCTGTTCTCAATTACGTCCGCGAGCCGCCTTTAAATTACGGGGCTGGCTGCTCGTTCTCCAGTAGTGTTTCTACACGGCTTCGGGAAAATGAGTGGACGCGGCAAAGGCGGAAAGGGACTCGGAAAAGGAGGCGCTAAGCGTCACCGGAAAGTTCTTCGTGATAACATCCAAGGTATCACCAAGCCCGCTATCCGCCGTCTGGCTCGCCGTGGCGGAGTGAAGCGTATCTCCGGCCTAATCTACGAGGAGACCCGTGGTGTGCTCAAGGTTTTCCTCGAGAACGTGATCCGTGACGCTGTTACCTACACTGAGCACGCGAAGAGGAAGACTGTGACCGCCATGGACGTGGTGTACGCTCTGAAGAGGCAGGGTCGCACTCTGTATGGTTTCGGAGGTTAAGGCCACAGCTCGACTCTACAACACAACGGCTCTTTTAAGAGCCACACACTTCACTTTAATTAAGAGCTTTGTTCTATAATCTATAATTTTTGTCATATTTTGGAGGGAAGTCCTGAAAATATTAGTGAACTACCTGCCAGTATCACCCACTGAAGCAGTAGTATGTTGTAACTTCACAAACTATTACCGACTAACATTCCCAACATATTACAATGACTTAATCTAGACATTTTCTCTTAGTCTCGATACTACGAAGAGAAGAACCTGTCAAAATGAGTGGTTGCGGCAAGACTATGTTTGGTGACTTATCAAGTCAATGGGAACAATATAGTTTAAATATCCTCCAAGACAATACGAAAAATATCTATAAAAAAATTAATGAAACCAAAAATGAAAGTGTAATTCAATATAAGTATGCAAATGAAGATGAAAACCTTTCAATAGTTAAAAATATACACGACAAATTATTATCTGAAAGCATGAGAGACGTGGTATGGCTCATCTCGCTCGGGCGCCTCCCTGTGAGAGCAGTGGTACAATGGAGTTGTTTTGTTACCACCATGAAATGTCCTATGACAGGCTGTGATGAAGATGAGACCCTAGAACATCTCCTATTAGATTGTTATAGGACAACTGAGATCAGGCAGAAAATGACAGAGATTGGCTATGATGTGGATGTTAATATTAAAGCAGTTAAATATGGTTTGTTTAAAGAAAAAATGTGTGACGACAAAAGGAGACTCTTTTGGTTAGTAATGTGTGTAATAAACACACATATTTGGAAAACTCGTGCCAAAGGAGTACTTGAACAAAAGATGATAAGTAGTGATGTGGTGAGTAAACATATCATTACAGACCTGCGAAGAAGACGAACAATGGACCTGAAACTTGGGAAAGTTTTCCCCTGGAACGAATTAAAACTGTAAGTCTTGTGAACGTTGTGTGGACTCAGATGCTAGATTTTCCTCCTTGTTTATCCCTTTTGTATGTGCTCATGGTTTTGTATATGTAATTGTATGTGTATGTGCATTTTATATGTAAACTTGTTTACTTTAAATAAAGTTGTAAAAAAAAAAAAAGAAGACTGGAGTAATTGGTTATTAGTTATGTAATCATGCCCCCGTATGCCCCATTATCGTTTGCTTCAAACTTCAGCAATTTATGGGTGAGACTCAAGTACATCGGAGACGGGGACCCCCCGACCCGTGATTATGTTGCTGAAGAGCTGATATTGCAAACATCATGGCTGAATGTGCAGGACATATACTCTTCATTGCTCTCCCCAGTAAACGGGATTTTGAGCTGTGTTTCACCCAAGAGGCGCCCTTACGTCGCTTCTTAGAGATCTCTCTTTCCAACGCATCACATCCGAAATGGAAAGACTGGCAAGTGGAGTCTTCTGTCCAGGTAGAGGTAGTGACTCTTGTTGTTAAGTTCTGGACTGGAAGGATTCCAGACCAAGATATCGAGCTATATCTTAAAAGGTACTGCGAGATTCTTCAACCCCCAGTCAAGCCAGTGGATAAATTTGGATTCTGGTATGGAGTCCGAAAATACAAAGTTCGGATGCGTAGAGATGAAGCTGGACATATAATCTCTATCCCTAATTCCATCTCGTTGGGCCCCTATAATGGCAGGATTATTTATCCTGGCCAATCGGTGAGGTGCTTCATCTGCCAAGGTCCAGACCACCAGGCGAGAGAATGCCCCACTATCAAATGTTGGAAATGTGGTGAGTTGGGCCACAAGGCTAAAATTTGCCAAAACGAAAGTGAGTGCTCCCTCTGTGGTGCGAAAGGGCACACTTTCTTTAAATGCCCCAAGTCTTATGTGAATATACTTAAGTCTTCCCAACAACCTCGACCTTCTGACACCATGGAATTCCCTTCCTTGGTGGATCCTTCCCAAGTCTTGGATCCCCCCGTGAATGACCAGGTGAGAGAGCCCCCTCCCTCTCCTCCCCCTCCCCTTCCTCCGACGGCTGCCTCACTGTCACTCCCAGTTTCGCTTGGATTGGACAATCCACAAGTGGATGATCAGGATAACCAGTCTAGCCCTGCTCAAAATGAGTTACCATCTCCACTGTCTCAGTCAAGTAAAAAAAGTGACGAGAGTGATGAAGAGCTAGATGGTAACCTGATCATAGAGACATCGGATGGTGAGAATGAAAGCGATAGTGACGACGAAGAAATCGACAGCGAGCAGACACCTGATGACGACGGAGATAGCGAGGACCATGGATCCTTCCCTCTCTCAGAGGCGGCATCTCTGGCTCTTGCTTCGCTTCCCGGGGAAACGAAAGTAAAACGGAAGACCTTCTTTAGTGGAAGTCACCCGGCCCTCAACGAGCTCGTCAACGAGGATACGGGAGGAAGCAGAAAAAGGAGCGTTTCTGCTTCTAGCTCTGGAAGAGATAAGCGGAAGGATAATAGACCAAGTCCTCCGTGAGTAATATTTCTGAGATGGTCTCTCCTTTAGTCAACCTATGAGTAACATCAAAATAATAACATTTAATGTCAGAGGTCTCCAATCAGATAAGAGCAGGAAAAGGAAGGTTGATTTCTTAAAAAGACTTGATTATGATATTTTGTGCCTTCAAGAGATGAGATTAAAGACACACGTAGATGTATGTGAATTAAATAAAATGTGGAACACTGCCCATTCAATAATATCGATAGGGGAAGACAGCTCTGATGGAGTGGGTATTTTCTTTAAAAAAGATGCGGTGAATATAATCAAAAGAAGAGACATAATACCGGGACGACTCCTCCTTGTTGATTGCTGTTATTACGGGCAAAGGTTGCGTATTATTAATGTTTATAATGCACCCGAACGAACGAAAAAGTTACAATTATTGAGAAAATTGAAGTATTTATTGGAGATTGGTTTTAATATAATTCTATGTGGAGATTTTAACATTGTTACTGAAGCAACTGACAGAATATCCAAGGTTGAATTTAAAGAACTGCGGGAAAGCAAATTGTTGGTTAAAGTTTGTAAGGAAGCAGCACTTCGTGATTTATACAGGCACTTGCATCCACATACCGTCCACTACACTAGATTCGATTCCTTAACTAAAACAAGGATTGATAGATTCTACATATCACATAATGTTCAAGGTCTGAAATATGACACTCTTTTAACAGACTTTTCTGATCATATGGTGGTTATGGCAACAGTGTCGTGTTGTCCCACTGAAGCTCATGGCTCAGATTGGCTTTGTTAAAGTCCCCAAGAGCAATGATGAGAGAGTCCGGGAATGTCCGCTCCATGTGGCAGATCTGCTCCGCGAGTGCGCACTGAGCTGCCTGCGCATCCGCTCTGGCGGGATGTAAACAGCGGCCAGGATGAATGAAGCAAACTCCCGCGGAGAATAAAACGGTTTGCAGTGAATAAAAAGGTATTCCAGAGAGGAAGAGCAGTGCTGAGCAATCACTGTTACATCTGTGCACCAGCCACACAGTTTTAGCGAACTATAGGCCTACTTCCAAGCTCCCTTTACTTTCCAAGGTTTTAGAGAAAATTGTTTTTAGTCAACTGAAAGATTTTCTAGATGATAATGGCATCCAAATTTATTTGCCCCTGAAGCAGAAGGGTGGCATCTCCATAAAACCTCTCACAACATGCCTAGATGACATTAAAGCTTGGTTGGCTCTAAACTTTTTAAATTTTAATGAAAAGAAAACAGAGTTGTTGGTGTTTGGACCCAGTGGTCCCTGCGAGTCCTCCTCTGTAGATTTGGGACCCCTGGAAGTTTATTTTAAACCTGTTGTTACTGACTTGGTTTTAAGTTGGACAGTGATTTTAAATTGGACAACCAAATCAGAGCAGTGGTGAAGTCCAGTTTTTATCATTTAAGGCGACTGGCAAGAGTAAAATCTTTTCTTTCAAGGCAGCACCTTGAAACAGTGATCCATGCTTTTATTTCTTCGCGCCTGGACTACTGTAACGCACTTTACGTGGGGGTCAGTCAGTCATTGCTCTCAAGTCTGCAGCTGGTTCAAAATGCTGCTTCATGACTCCTAACAGGAACTTTTCAAATAGAGCATATAACCCCTGTCCCAGCCTCACTGCACTGGCTGCCTGTGTCTTTTAGAGTTAATTTTAAAATTCTTATGTTCACAGTCTTGCCCCGCGCTTACCTCTCTGAGCTTCTTCATCTCCACACACCCTCGTCGGTCTCCCAGGCAGTGGTGCAGGTCTGAGATCAGGAGAAGCTCAGAGGGGAGCGGGCCTTCTTTATCGTGGCTCCAAAATTATGGAACAATTTGCCCTTGCACTTAGAGAGGCCCTCACTGTCCACTTTTAAATGCGTCTTAAAACCCACTTTTATTCTTTGGCCTTTAACCTCAGTGAGACTAATTTTCCCTTGAAATTAAATTACCGTACTTTCCGGACTACAAAGCGCACCTGAATATTAGCCGCACAAGCTAAAATCAGGGGAAAATCCTGTTTTGTACCTACATCAGCCGCACCTGACTAAAAGCCGCAGGTGCTTTAATGTTTACTTACCATATGTAAGAGAATATGCACAAAGGGGATTGTCAGGAAAGAGATGGCTGTTTGGGAACACATCCCTTGTATTAATATTTTGAAAAACAAGTTACGGTACATATTTGCAAACTTTTTACATATATGTACAAGTACCGGTAATTACAAGTACGAAACATGTACTGCTGCTTTATAAACGAGTAACAAATGTAGTAGTACATAACAATAACCTACAGCACACCAGAAAAAACGATTCGGCTACCTTTTAGGCTCAGGTGCAGTAACATGGCTTTAACAAGAAGAAGAAGTTGAGCGGCAGTCTTCATCTTCCTGGCTGTCCAGCGTGGGCGCATCTCCGTGCAAGCTGTCTGATGGATGAGTGAGCTTGACGCTACATGACGATTCGCGGCTCCGGGACTGACTCGTTGATGGATTTGTGAGGCAGGACGTTGGCACCGTTCAGGTAAAGCTCGTCATTGACGGTCACGTCCTCCCCCGCACCGTCACATTCTCCATACGCACCCACTGGCCGACTGACGAGCTCCACCCCACGATGCAGCTCTCCAGCCACGAGTGCGATCGAACCCTTGACCCTTTCAGCACCGTGCACCTCTTTATCCTCACGCCATCCTCCACAACAACGCCGGCGCCGATGGTGACATTGGGGCCGATGGTGCAGTTCTCCCCGATCTGTGCTGTGGGATCAACCAAGACGTTGCCGAGGAAACCGGGGCCTGTGCGTAATCTCTCAGGTGCGTGTTGTCGTACTGACTGGAGGTACATACACATCCCTGTCAGGAAGTCTTTAGGCTGGCCGATGTCCATCCAGAAACCTTGCAGCTCCATGGCATACAGCTGTCCCTCCCCTGCCATGACAGGAAATATTTCTTTTTCAATGGATGTTGGTCTCAGCTGGATCCTGCTGAGCATGCTCGGATTGAAGATGTACATGCCAGCATTAATTTTGTTGGAGACAAAGACCTGTGGTTTCTCCACAAAGCGATGGATCCTCCCGCTGTCCGCCTCATACACCACCACACCGTACTAGAGGCTTTCACCGTACAAATGGTTCCCTCCTTGCCGTGGTTGCGGTGGAACTGCAGCAGATCTTTGAACGGAAAATCACAGATGACATCTGAGTTGAAAACGAAGAACGGCTCACTGTCATCATTCAGAAAAACATACAGAATGTACTACAAGGACAGAAGCTATGACTCGTCTGAAGACCTGACAGGAAACACTGCTTTACTCCCTGCACAATTAAATCTGTATGCACAACCCAGATGTGACTGCTGCAGTAAATCTTGGGCATCTCTGTTTAGTCTCCTTGTTTTCTGTCACATCTTGGATTCAGTCTGAATCTCCCGCCTCTGCTCCGATGGCTCCGGCCAACTCCTCTTCATGGCAACGCAGACAATCACGGATGAGTTCAGCAATGGCTCTCTGTGTTCTCCTCTCCAACTTCTCCAGTTTCTTTGCCACATCGCGCTTTAGATCCCAGTCTGGTTTTCTTGGGGCAAGATTGGCTAAATCCACTTCCTCAATGATGGGCTCTGGATTATCTTTTACTTTATCTTCCACTGATGCTGGATTGGCCTTAGGCACCGGTATTTCCTTTAGCTCTTCATCCTCTGGAGCGTAATTCCTCAATTTCAGTTCTCTGTGTTCCTCTTGAGTGGCCTCTTCTAATGTGGCTTTTTTGCTCTCTGGCTCACAATCGTCCTGCTCTCGCCCATGAAGCTGTTTTCTCTTACGCTTAGCCAATCTCTCTTAGGCGTGGGTTTCTTCTACCATCATCTAACTTTTAAATTTTTTTTTTTTACAACTTTATTTAAAGTAAGCAAGTTTACATATAAAATGCACATACACATACAATTACATATACAAAACCATGAGCACATACAAAAGGGATAAACAAGGAGGAAAATCTAGCATCTGAGTCCACACAACGTTCACAAGACTTACAGTTTTAATTCGTTCCAGGGGAAAACTTTCCCAAGTTTCAGGTCCATTGTTCGTCTTCTTCGCAGGTCTGTAATGATATGTTTACTCACCACATCACTACTTATCATCTTTTGTTCAAGTACTCCTTTGGCACGAGTTTTCCAAATATGTGTGTTTATTACACACATTACTAACCAAAAGAGTCTCCTTTTGTCGTCACACATTTTTTCTTTAAACAAACCATATTTAACTGCTTTAATATTAACATCCACATCATAGCCAATCTCTGTCATTTTCTGCCTGATCTCAGTTGTCCTATAACAATCTAATAGGAGATGTTCTAGGGTCTCATCTTCATCACAGCCTGTCATAGGACATTTCATGGTGGTAACAAAACAACTCCATTGTACCACTGCTCTCACAGGGAGGCGCCCGAGCGAGATGAGCCATACCACGTCTCTCATGCTTTCAGATAATAATTTGTCGTGTATATTTTTAACTATTGAAAGGTTTTCATCTTCATTTGCATACTTATATTGAATTACACCTTCATTTTTGGTTTCATTAATTTTTTTATAGATATTTTTCGTATTGTCTTGGAGAATATTTAAACTATATTGTTCCCATTGACTTGATAAGTCACCAAACATAAGTCTGTGGTATGGAACGCCCGCTCTGGCCCTGCCTCTTTTCTTTTGCCACAATTGCTCCTTCCCTCGAACCCACGGGGCACCCCGAGAAATTGCGCTTTGAGTAATTTTTATAAAAGGGATTCGCAAAACAATCTCTAAGTCTGGGGCTCCCAAACCCCCGTGCTTCCTACTCTTGTACATAAATTTTCTCTTAGTCACTTCTCGATTGGATCCCCAGATAAATTTAATGCACATCTTACTTATTTTCATTACAGTTGTTCTCGGAGGAGGAAAAATTGCGGCAAGGAAAAGAAGTTTCGAAATTATGTGTGTTTTTACAATATTAATTCGTGTTTTATAATTTGTATCTTTATTTTCCCATTTCATAATTTCCATTTTAATTTCATTTTCTTTCTTATTCCAATTTAATAAACTAGAGTCAGTATTATCAATCCATATACCCAAAATTTTAATCTCCCTACATAGAGAGATCATCATTTTAGGTTGTCTGGTCGGATGTCCAAGCCACACCCCTTCAGTTTTGTCTTGGTTCAGCTTGGCACCTGATGCCTGTTCGTAATGGTGTAATATCTCCATAACTGAAGACAGTTCGTTTTGGTTTCTAATTATCACCGTCACGTCATCTGCATACGCTAAAGCTGCGATTTTAAGGGATTTATCAAGGACGTATCCCTTGATCCGTTTATCATCATTTATCCTTTTCAATAAGGGATTAATTGCAAGGACATATAACGCAGCACTCAAGGGACATCCTTGTTTAACCCCGCACTCAGCACTAAAAGGGGATGAGAGCTTTCCATTTACCTTAACTTGCACTAGGGACTTTTTATAAATCAATTGGATAATAGAAATAAATTGTCTGGAAAATTATAAGCTTTCATTACTTTCCATAAATAAGAGTGGGAAACAGAATCAAAAGCCCTCCTTTGATCTAATCCTAAAATGCAGAGTTCTGAATCCTTGCGATTATAAATAATTTCTCTTAACATACTTAAGTTATCCCACATCAATCGTCCCTTAATTGCGCATGTTTGTTCTTTTTCAATGATAATATCTAATACATCCTCTAGTCTAGACATAATTATTTTAGCAAAAATCTTATAATCTACATTCATTATTGTCAGTTGCCTATAATTGTTAATGTCTTCTCTATCACCTTTCTTATATAATAAACACATAACTCCTTCATAAAACGATTTACCCATTGTTTCTCTTTCTATTCCTTCATTAAAATACTGAGTTAATAATTCAGACAGTTCTTTACTCACAATTTTGTAAAATTCAGAGGGGAGTCCATCCAGACCAGGTGTTTATCGGTACTAAGTTGGTTAATTACTGACTCCACTTCCTCTCTTTTAATTTTTCCAATCAAAGTTTCATAAATGACAGGATCTAATGGTTCAACCTCACTCAAAAAATTGTTAATAGCGTCGCTGTTTGTAGCTATGGATGAAAACATCTCCGAACAATAATCTCTAATTACTTGTCTTTTCCCCTCTTCTTTAAAAACTGACTTTCCATGTTTATCCTTAATTGAGACAATAAAATCATTTCGACTTTTCTTTTGATTATTAAAAATCATATAATCGCTGTTTCCGTGAAAGTCAGTACGTCGCAACATATTAAATAAAACTTCTCTATTGACTCGATCAATGTCCTCTTTAAGAGACATCATTTGATTTTCCTCCTCCTCTTCCTTCTCCTTCTTATTTCTTAAATATATATATCTACTCACATCTTCATTATATTTTACATTCTTTGCATGATTTAATTCTCTCGCTTTAAATTTAAAAAATTGACACATACGTCGTTTAAGAAGCTCCCAAAGTTCCGAGAAAGAAGTAGTAAAAATCTTAAGATGTAATATTTTCCTAATTTCAGATTTAACTTCGGACACAAGCAACTCGTCTGCTAACAAGGATGTATTCAATTTCCAATAGTTCAAAAATTCATGGGGG